GTATATTCATGGAGTTGTACAAACATCACCACAATCTAAATTTCTAACATTTTCATCAACGTCCCCCAAAGCCCATACCCACTAGCACTCAGTCCTCGTTTTCCCAGCCTGAGGCCACACTACCCTGCTTTTGTTTCCAAGGATTTGCTTGTTCCGCACATTTCATATAAATGGAGTAATAGAGCACGCGGCCCTTGAGGATGGATGGCTTCCTCAACTTAGCATAATGTTTTCAAGGCTCACCCATATTGCAGCATGTGTCAAGGGCTCGTTGCTTTTTATGACTGAATGATATTTGATTGTATAAATGGACCACATTTTGAAATCAGGTGATAGACATCAACATTGCCTGCACTTTTTGTCTTTCACGAATAACGCTGCTGTGAACATCCCCTTACAGGCTCTCGTGTGCATTGTTTCATGTCCTTGTAACAGACTGAAACTGCTGGGTCATACAGTAGGTAACTCTTGGCTGGACCTTTTGAGGAACTGCCAGGCTGTTTCGCCAGGCGCTGACCATTTCACACATCCACCAGCAGTGGATGACAGTCCCTATTCCTCCCCATCCTCACCATCACTTGTTATTCTATTATTTTTAGTATCTTAGAGAAACTTTAGTGTAAACTAATTTAACCTTTTTGATTGTCATAAGCACATGTGCCCCAGAGTACCTGCCATTTCAATATTCTTCATGTGTATCATTCAGTGATGTCAGGTGCAATCACCTCCACTGATAGGCAAAGGTCTGTGTGTGCTTGCCTAGTCTGCGTATTTCATATACATGGGATCATACAGTATCGGCCTCTGTGACTGACTTACTTTACCCAGCACAGTATTTTCAAGGTTCGTTGATGCTGTAGCATGTATCAGGATTTCATTTCTCTTTGTGGACAGTGGTATTTCATCTGTTGATGGACATTAGGGTTGTTTCCATTGGGGGCTATTGTGAATTGTGCTTAATTGGTGTACAATGATTTGTGTTCCTGCTTTGAGTCCTTTGGGGTATATATCTAGAAGTGGAGTTGCTGGATCTTGTGAAAATTCTGGGTTTAGCTTTTCGAGGAAGTGGCAAACCATTTCCCCAGCTGCTGTGCCATTTACAATCCCTGCCACAATGGGTGAGTGTTTGGATTTCTCCATACCCACACCAACACCTGTTGTTATTTGTATTTTTTAAATCATGACCATAATGGGCATGCAGTGACATTCTGTCTCTTCGATTATAGTCATCCTAGTGGGTGGTTTTGATTCGCATTTCCCTGATAACTAATAATATGTATGTATTTGCCATTTTTATATTTCCTTTGGAGAAATGTCTACTCAAGTCCTTTGCTCACTTTTTCATTGATTGTCTTTTTAGTGAGTTGTAAGAGTTTTTACAGCTGGATTTGGGATAAAAGTCCCTCATCAGGTATAAGATTTGTAACCACCCCCTCCTGATTCTGTGGACTGTCTTTTCACTTCCTTGATGATGTCATTTGAACACAAAAATTTGTAATTTGTGTAAGTCCAATTTAACTATGTTTTCTCTAGTCTCCTGTGCATTTAGTGCTAAGAAACCATTGTCTAATCAAATGTTCCAAAGATTTATTCTTAAAATAATATTTTATTGTGTCTTCAGTGAAAGTTTACTCAGTAAATTAGGTTCCCATTTAACAATTCCTATACAGATTGTTCAGTGACATTGGTTACCTTTTCATAGTGTGTCAGCATTCTCGTTTTTTCTGTCTTAGTTGTTCTTGCTTCCCTGCTGCCCTGCCCTTACCTTCTTACCTTTGCTTTAAAGTAAATGCTGACCATTTGGTCTCATGGAGATGATTTTTTAAGGAGCACAGCACTCATGAGGCATGTTGTTTGTCTGAGGAGCCAATGTGTTACTCAGCTGAAAGGTGACCTCCAGCAGTGCTTTCAGTTCAAAGTTTAAAGGGCATCTCAGGGTGATAGTCTTGGAGTGCCTCTAGTCTCAATGGCTCAACTAAGGCTGCATTAAAAACAGTAACTTGAATTTTCCTTGCATTTTTCTCCTGTTCTATCAGGGCCCCACTGTTGTGTCCCTGATCAGAATGGTGGTAGTGGTAGTCCGGCCCCATCCAGTTCTTCTGGTCTCAGGGTAGGTGAAGCAGTGGTTCAGGCAGGCTATCAGTCCTCTAGACTATTTTTCTTTTCTTTGAGTCCTTGGTTTCCTTCTTTGTCTTTTGCTGCAGACAAGAAGAGACCAATAGTTGTATCTCAGATGGCCCCTTGCAAGCTTTTAAGGCCCCAAATGCTACATGAAACTAGGATATAGAACTTCATGAATTACATTATGCCAATTGACAGAGTTCTCCCATGAGACTATGGTCCTAAGCCTTCCAACCCAGTAAACCAATCCCAGGAGATATTTATGTCTAATAGGTATCCATAACTATGCTCCTATGTTCTTTGCTACATATATGAATATACATGCAGCACACACATACATGTATATAAAGATGCCTAGAGATATACCTGCTGAGCAGATAATCTGAGAATCCAAGAAGCTGGACTATATGAAGAAGAAGGAGGCATCAGGACTGGAGGAAGATTCATTAACAACCTGCGAAATGCAGATGACACAACTTGCTGCCTGAAAGAGAAGAGGACATGAAGCACTTACTGATGAAGATCAAAGACTATAGTCTTCAGTATGGACTACGCCTCAACATAAAGAAAACGACCACAAATGGACCAACAAGCATTATCATGATAAATGCAGAAAAGTCTGAAGTTGTCAAGGATTTTATTTGGACCCACAATTAATGCCTATGGAAGTAGCAGTCAAGAAATGAAATGATGTACTGCATTGGGCAAATCTTTGGGGGGAAAAATAAACACAACTCTTAAAGTGTTAAAAAGGAAAGATGTCACTTTGAGGACTAAGGTGCACTTGACCCAAACCATGGTATTTTCAGTTGCCTCATATGTGTGCAAAAGCTGGACAGTGAATAAGGAAGACCAACGAAGCACTGATGCCTTGGAATTGTGGCGCTGAGAAAGAATGCTGAATACACCATGGACTCAGAACAGTGAACCAACCTGCCTTGGAGGAAGTACAGCTAGAACGCTCCTTAGAAGACAGGATTATGGGACCGTATCTCACCCGCCTTGGACATGTTATCAGGAGGGACCAGTCCCTGAGAAGAACAGCGTGCTTGGTAGGTCAGCAAAACAGAGGGACACCCTGCACAAGAACTGACAGGCTACAATGATGGGCTCAAACAAAGCAACGGCTGGGAGGCCGGCGTGGGACTGGGCAGTGCTTCATTCTGTTGCACATGGGGTCACTATGAGTCAGAACACACTCAACACACCTAACAGCAACAGATACACCAGGAGCCCTGGTGGTGCAGTGGTTAAAGCACTCAGCTGCCAACGAAAAGGTCAGTGGTTTGACCCTTACCAGCTGTTCTTTAGAAGAAAGATGTGGTAGTCTGCTTCTATAAAGATTAACCATAAAAACCAAACGTACTGCTGTCAGGTCAGATCCGACTCACAGCGACCCATCCTTGGGTTTCCGAGGTGTTATCTCTACGGAAATAGATTGCCCAACCTTCCTTCCGAGGAGTGGCTGGTGGGTTTGAACCACCAGCCTTCTGGTTAGCAGTCAGATGCCTTAGGCACTACGTCACCAGAGCTCCCCAGCCTCAGAAGCCCTGTGAGACAGTTCTATCAGGTCACTCAGAATTGACTTGATGGCAGTAGGTTTCACAGAAACACCTATGCACACACAGACACATACATGTACCTACATATACACACATATGCATACATACCTACCTCTGTAACCACACACATTTTTTGGTTGTTTATCACTGCAAAATTATGTATGCCATAAACAAAAAACAAACCCACTGCCATTGAATCGACTTCATCTCAGAGACCCGTTAGGCCAACAGATCCGCCCCCACAGGATTTCCAAGGCCGTGTATCTGTACAGAAGCCGACTGCCTTATCTTTCTCCCAGGGAGTGGCTCGTGGGTTCAAGTCATCAACCTTTTGGTTAGCAGCCCAATGCCTTAATCACTGGGGCCCTAGAGTTGCAAAGATAAATAATGTGAATTTATACACCTTTCGGCATTTACCAACTGACTTTGTTTACCTTGGTCAAGCTGTGCACACCTCACTCACATTCCCTGTTGCCTTTCCCGTTACTATAAATACAGGGCCTACTCTCTAGAGAGGAGCCCTGGTGGTTCTGTGGTGAAGACATCGGGCTGCTAACCAGAAGGTCGGCGGTTCAAATCCAGCAGCCACTCTGTGGGATAAAGATGAGGCAGCCTGCCTTGGTAAAGCATCAGCCTCGGAAACCCTGTGGGGTCGCTACGAGTTGGCATGGACTCCTGGGCAGTGGGTCTTTAATCTAGAAGACTGTCGCCCTCTCATCCTCGTAACCACAAGCGGACGATGGTCTGTCTGTATTGAAGACTGGTACTTCACAGTCTTAGCTCTTATACTTAGGGCAGTGATACTTCGAATCGATATTTTTTACTTTCATGTGAAGAACTTTCTGCCCAAAGCAACTGTTACAGGGTTACTTTTGTAGGTGAAGAAGACCACACTTAGAGAAAACCTGCCTTGAACTTGGAGCACTTTCTCTAATGCACTCGCGGCGTCCCCACACCCCACAGCTTCAGAGAGCGCCGCCTGCCCGCCGGCAGAGGAAGTCCCGCGCCTGCGCACAGTCACCGCGCCCACTTGCTTCCCTCTAGCGCAGGCCGGATCAGCGCGGCGTGCGGGCGCTCGGCGGAAGTCTCGCGAGCGCGGCGGGAGGCACTTCCAGCGCCTGCGCAGGCAGCTTGTCAGTCCGGGGGCTGTTCCGGGGCTGCCTGGGACGTGCGCCTGGGGCGGGCCCGCCCCCGGCTGCGGTCCCCTCAGGGTTCCCCTTCCCCGCGGCCCCGCTCGTCCCCGTCAGGCTTCGGCCCGTCCTCGGGACTACTTGGTGGTGGTGTGACTGGGGCTGTCCTCCTCAGACCCCGTACAGGATGGGGGACAACACTAGCCCCATCAGCGTGATTCTGGTGAGCTCGGGGAGCAGAGGCAATAAGCTGCTGTTCAGATACCCCTTCCAGAGGAGCCAGGAGCACCCGGCGTCCCAGACAAGTAAGTGGGCGCTGGGCGGCGGGCGCTCCTCAGCAGCGCGAGCGGCCCCTCGGCCACCTCCTGTTGGCTCTTCCTGATGACGTATTGGCGCCCGCTCGGGGGCAGAAGTATGCAGAGAAGCCACAGAAACAAGAAACCACTCAGGTCACTGTCCCACAGCCGCTGTCGCTAGCACCTGCCCAGTCGGCCCAGCCTCTTTTACGGTTTAAAATATGGAACCGTGTATGAATGTGTTCCTCTGCGGAGAACTGTCAAATGGCAAATGCATCGGAAGGTTCTCTGACCACGCCCCCCAGTTCTGGTCCCCCTCCCGCCCGAGAGAGAACGTCGGGTCCTGGTGACTGCTTGTCCAGCAGGCCGATGGCGCGCGCGGTCACTGCTCGTCCAGCAGGTCGATGGCGCACGCACGTTTCTGCAGCTTCGCGTTGCTGCACGGCAGTTGCCTCGAAGCCCCTTCCAGTTTAGGAGACCAGAGGGCGGCCTCATTCTCTTGCCCTGTAGCATACCACCGCATAGGACCCCTACGGATGACGATTTAGGGTGCTTGCAGTTTTTCACTATTATGAATGTTTGATTTTTCATTTAAAAGTTGTTTTAAAATTACCCTTAAACTTGCCACTGTGACCCAAAGTTTGAAGGCACAAAGGGGCTTAGAATGAAAGTAAAGTCCCTTCTCACAGCTGACTTCCCAGCAACCCAGTTCCCCTTGCGGGGGCAGCTACACTCCCCATTTCCCCATGCGTCTTTTCAGCTCTTCCTGTGCAAGGACGCGGTGTTTTCTAACCCGGGTAGCGCCAGGTGTTCCGCTGCTCTGGTTTTGTTTGAGCTTTGCACGCTGGCTGTAACGTCAGAATGCATCGGGCAGTCTCTTTCTTTAATGACTGCAGTGGATCCCATGAGCTGAACATGCTGTGATTTATGCATCCAGTTCTCCGTTGCTGGTGCATGAGCTGTTCCCAGGCTGTTCAGTGCTGCTGACTGGATAGAACTCACTTTGCAGATTATCCGTGGAACCAGTTTCCAGAGGTGGAATGGCTGGATCTAAAGGGTGATGACTGTTTTTAATATATCAGCTTTTTCAATCTTTGTTAGTCTGATCAGTGAAAAATTGCATCTCATAGGTTTTTTGTTTTTGTTTTTAATTTTGGTGAAAATAAACACACCAAAACATTTGCGGACATAACTTTCACATTGACGATTCAGTTTCATTGTTGACATTTTTCATGTTGTACCACCATTATTACTATCCTTTTCCAAAATATTCCACCACTTTTAACGTAAACTCAATACCACCTGTTCTGGTTATCTAATGCCACTCTGACAGGAAACATACCACAAATGGGATGGCCTTAACAAACAGGAGTTTATGCTTACAATTTGGAGGCTTTACGTCCAAGTTCAAAGTGCCAGGCTCTAAGGGCTGGGTGAAAGCCCCTCAACCTTGGGGTCCAGCTCTGCCTCCTGCTCCCAGCCCACTGGAGCTAGAAGCAGTTCTTCACTCAGGCAGCTGCTGGCTGCTGAGGCTGAAAAGCCCCAAGGTTGACAAGTAAAAAGGCACAGTCCCGATGTTACCAAACCACACGGCAGGCCATTAACTTAAGTCCGTTGTAAATCCCAAGGTCAGAAGAGCATAGCAGGCTGCTGAGCAACTACACGGCTACACACAGGGTCTAAGCGTGCCAGAGACCATTCCCAAAGCTGCTGCTTATATACGGGAAGCAGACCACATACCCAAAGCAGTACTCAGCTGCTTGTGGTAGATCCCACCACGGAGTTGATTGGCAGTCACATCATGGGGAATAGCTGCCCAGCCACTCAACCAGGCCCAGCCAAGTTGACACACAAACATAACCACCACAACACCCAAACAAAAACTCCCTTTTCCCCCCTCCTCCCATCCCAACTGTTAATAGTCTTTGGTTTCTATTCAGTAGAGACCATATGGTATTTGTGCTTTTGCGACTGACACTTCACTCAGTGTAATGCCGAGAAGGTCCGTCCATGCGGGAGGACTTCTTTCTCTTCACAGCTGCATAATATCCCTCTGTGTGGGTACGCCGCATTTTGGTGATGCGTTCATTTGTTGATGGACAGCTCCATTTCCACCTTTTAGCTGTTGTGAAAAGTGCTACGGTGAGCACTGGTGTTAGGTTTCGGTTGTGTCCCTGCTTTCACGTCTGTTGTAGTAGTTTTAATGTGCATTTATTTCACTTACGAATGAGAATGAGCATAGTTTCCTGTTTTCTGGGTCATGTTTTTCAGTATCATCCTGCTATTCTTGTTTACTGTTCTGTGGGTCAGGCCCCACTCTAGGCCTGTGGGTATTTATATTGGGGACAGCTTTAAACCTGTTATCTGGGGAAGAGATGGCATCTCTATGCCAAACCTTCCTTTTCAAGAATGGGGTATGTGTTCCAGGCTTCTGTTTCCTTATTAGTATTTTAGAGTTTTCTTCATGTGGCTCTTGCACCCTTCTTAAGTCCATCCCTAGGTTTCAAACTTTTTAACTACCATTGCATATCATTGTTTATATATATAAAGTGATGTATCAACATATAAAAGTTCATTGTTTTATGTGATTTTTTCAACCTAGTTGCCATAATTCTGAGAGGAGGTATGTGTATATACAAAATCCTATTTTAAACAGTTAACACAGTAGCAGAAGCATCTCCCCATGCTTTTATAGCCTCAGGGAAGCCATCCCTTTGAATGTCTCCCTGATCCACTCGTGTGTGGATGGATCTGTTTTCCTAGCTATCTCCTTCCCTTTTGCCCTTATTCAGATAAGCCGCGTAGCAGATACGCTGTTAACAGCACGGGCGACCACCCTGAGGACCAGGACGGGGACTCCAGGTAAGGGCTTTGCTGCCACCTCAGAATTGGGGCTTTGTCCCCCAGCCCTTGTGCCCTAGTTGCTTCCTCCAGTAGCTCAGAGCTGGCGGCCACATTGCCAGTCTCTGCTTCGCTGCCCGATTTGAACACATGTTCCAGCTGTGGGCTGTGTGCTTGGTTAAGCTGGTCATGTCCTGTGAGAAGGATACAGCAGTAGCCCCAGTGCTGTCCTCAGACACCGTGCCTCATGCAGGTGTCTGGAGACTGACCCCAAGTTGCCCCTGAGGCTCGTGTGCAGCACAGCCTTGCTAGGTCCAGGTGGTGATACAGGTGGCAGGGCTGAGTCCAGGGCTGATCGGAGCCTTGAAAGTCTTTCAGGATATAGGTGAGAGAGGCTCCTGTTCTTTCCTGCTGTCACTAGGGAGAGCTGTCAGGGTGGAAAGTATCATAAGAGACCACTTCTTATGTTCATCCCAGAGCTGAGTAAGCGGTAGCACAGGCTCAGGGAAGGAAGAAAATTCTAAGTTGCCTATCCTGGACCCCTGTGTGGGGTAGAGACTCAGCCTCTGCTATGCCAGAGAGAAAGTGGTTGGGACCTCTGAATGGGGCCTGTGCCTTCCAACATGTCCATCTAATGTCCTCTCCAGTTCCCTCACAGGCATCATGGCAACCATACCTGTGTATGGTTTTAAGAGTGTGAATTTCTTTCTTCTGTGGGGATGATGGGGGCCCCCGGCATGACCAGTACCTTCTCCAAGGAACTGGATTTGGACGGGAGATCTGTAGGAGTTGCCCGGGGCAGGGTATGTGTGGGATATTCTGCTCGATGTAGAAGCCTGTGGCTGACACCCTGGGCAAAATTGATGCCAAGAAATCTCATGGAGATCTCCAAGGAATGCTGAGCCCACAGATGTTAAAAGGAGACTAGGACCTTCCCCCAGAGCCAACAGAGAGAGAAAGACTTCTACAGTTGGCTCCCTGAATTTGGACTTCTAGCCTCCTAAACTGTGAGAAAATAAATTTCTGTTTGTTAAAGCTAAAAAAAAAAAAAGAAGAAGAAGAAGAAGAAGCCTGTGGCTGACTTGTCCTTTCAAGGTGGCAACGTGGGCCATACGGGTTCTGTCACAGGTACCTAGAGAGCTTTTAGGCTCCTGCACACTAGTGTGTGTGTTTTGTTCTTTGCCTGCACGGACCAGCCTCGAGTACAGCTGACCCCTTCCCACCATTTTCCTTCCACCGGACTCCTTCGTGTACCGGCAGACTGGAGGTTCAAGCTGGTTGCACACTCAGGAAGCACACTTTGAGGCAGCCTATGTGGAGGGCCTTCTAGGGGGTCAGCAGTACCTAACTCCTGCAGTTAGTTTTCAGAAGCTTATGATGAAGATAAGCAAAGTAGCCATGAAGGTGTTTTCCAGGGAATTGATTGAATGTTTAATGTAGTGAAGTGGGAGAACCGTGGGAGAGGAGTAAGAAGTTGTGGGTGTGTCCACGGGGCCCACAGTGAGAATTGATCCCCATAGGGGACGGTTCTCCTTCGACTCTCTCAGTAGGTGGAAGGATTACTTCACTGGATAACTTTGACATACCATAGTTTCTGTTGGTGCCCTCCTTCTCGGTGGTGTTTTCAGAAATGTAGATCAATACCCTGAGGGCTCAGGTCCCCTCCTGCTTAATTTTGTCAGAGAGGCCTGCCGGGACCCCAGCCTGCTCCTGGCACCTGCCCCTGGTGCCTGCAGGGCCCCTGTCATAATTCAGAGCCCTCTTTCTGGAGTGGTGAAGTAAAGGTGCATCCCGCCGGTTCTCTGGGCTTTCCTGGCTTGTCGTTCTTAGAGCTGCTTTTCTCTGTGGAACCAGCAGGATGCTCCCGTTTGTCAGCTGGCCAGGATGCAGTGATGCTCACAGGCCACACAGGAACTTCTGTGTGGCGGTGGCCTTCCTTTGGGACGTGAGCACGCAGAGCTGCCCTGTGTAGTACTGGCCAGACTGACCATGTAAAGTTGAATGAATTAAAACCAGATCAAGTCAGTTGCTCAGTTGCGCTGGGCACAGTTCAGGGGCTCAGTGCCACATGTGACTGCTGACTGCGGATCTGATGGTGCTGATTTGGAACATTCCCATCACTTTGGAAAGTTCCCTTGGACAGCACTGGCTTAGAGAGTGGGCTAGTTTTATGAAGTGAATCATCAAGATGCCCCTCAAGGGGTAGGAACCAGCCATTACTTTTTTTTCCTTTTCTAGGACTCAGTAAAGAGAGAAGAAAACGGACATTGTCCGTTGTCTCTAAGACTTGACGTTCACATTCAGAAAAGTTGTGATTCTCCTATTAGTGAGTGGGCTGTTAGGGCCTAGGATGGTCCGTGATTAATTCATGGGTCCTCCATACCAGCAGGGGCAGAAACCCAGGCGGTTCGTGTCCTCTGACTGGTGTGCACTTCCTGGTTCCACTCTACAACACTGGGGTTGGACAGTGCACAAGTTCCCAAGGGGTCCTGTGTGCACACACTCAGCTCCGCCTTGATGGCCTTGCACAGGGCTGTGCAGAGGGTCTGATGAGGCTGTGGCCACGTGCCGGGCGGGGGCTTTGGGAGCCGCAGGATTCCCAGAACTTGGCTGGTGGTGTTTACGTGGCGTTATGCAGGAGCTCTGGTGGTGCCGTGGTTAGAGCATTAGGCTGCTAGCCAACAGGTCAGTGGTTCGAATCTACAACAGGTCAGTGGTTCGAATCTACCTGTCACTATGGGAGGAAGATGAAGCAGTTTGCTTCTGTAGCGATTTATAGCTTTGGAAACCCTATGGAGTAGTTCTGCCCTGTCCTAGAGGGTCGCTATGAGTTGGAATTGACTCAATGTCAGTGGGTACAGTTTCAAAGATGTGTGAGTCTCCTTATTCCTGTGGAGACAGTGAGAAGCCTGTCCGGCTAATCTTGGTGGAGCTGGGCTTTGAACCTGGCCTTCCGCTACACTTGCTGCCGAAGGGACTCCAGTTCCCACCAGCCTGTATGTACGTGTGAGAATCTGAGCTTTACTGAGAACACCACGTGGTAAGTGTCCAGGGTGGCCAGTGTCCTCACACCCTCTTTCCTGTCTGGTAAGTTGCTTGGCTGTGATGTTCAGCAGTTATGCTTAATGATGGTGCCTCTGCCGGACTGTAACACTGTCTTTATGAAACACCTCGTAACTTTTCATGGTTTGTAAAAGCAATGTGTTTCTGTTTGGTCTCGATGGTCTCGTTCCCGTTCCAGTGAGCCATGTGTTCCAACCGATGAGCAGTTGGTTGCAGGGTAAGACCAAGACCTCCCCACTGTTTTTCTGCCTCGATTCTGCTGCCTTCTCGTCTCATAATTGTACTTAATTCCTCATCTCCTCAATGTTGAAGAAGGAACTAATGAAGCACACAGCTCTGGCTTGTACCTCACTGCCAGCCCCTGGCCCGTGCCCTCTTCCCCACCCTGGGTTATTGTATCTACGTGACATTATTTTTCTTTTCCCCAAGAGGCCAGGTCGCAGTTGGTGGCAGCCCTGAGGGGGGGCTAGCAGCAGCGAGCCCTCCTCTTCCCAGCCCTCTCTACCCCCCCGGGAAAAGCCCTCCCACCCCTTGCTCCACTTCTCAGAGTTTTGGCCAGAGTGGGCGTTAGGAGTGATACTTAGGCAAAGACATTGTCCTTGGAGTTAACATGAACTTGGTCGGGGGTTGCGGGTGAGACGGGACCTTCCCGTCCCCGTGTCACCTGCTCTGATTGCCTCCCGGACTGTGGCTGTCTCCCTGGGAGTTGGAGGTAACTGAGTCAGACTGCAGGTAGAACGCTTGAGTAACCCACAGGGCCGTAGGTGCAGCGTCCTCCAGGTCGCCCCAGAAAGCAGGGCTGCGGCTGTCTCAGAGGGATCGACACCCGGCTCATCTTCCCGCTGCGCAGTCTCATCTCCGTTTCCTTGAGTTTAAGTTGTTCAGGGGTCTCGAGTTTTCCCAAAGCCAGTTTCACAATTGTGTTGTTACAGTTAAATTTACATCAGTGCAAAGGAAAAGGGTGTTTGGAATTTGGAATTGTGCAAGCCACCATTGTCACTTGTTGGTGGCTCAGTTTGCTACTGATAACAGTTTTGCCTTCATCTCATGACACAGCTCTGTGTTTGTGTGTCACCAGACCCCATATACAAAGTACAGGCTGCTCCAGCATTTTGTCATCATAGCAGTTAGTAAGGAAACACTAAGCTGGCTGCAGGGAGTGGGTTTCTATGGGGGGCCAGGTGTGTTCAGCCCAACCGCCACCCTGCTGGCCACCCAGAGTCCCCAAGACTGCCTTGTGGCAGCGGGGCGCTTTGTTCCCACGGCTCTCAGCCAGCTACTTGCTCTCTGCAGCCCCTGCTCCTGCCCTCCCAAGGGGAAAGCACTTTTATTTGGCTTAGGGCAGGGAACCTGGGAGTGAGAGGTTTATAGCTGTGAACTGGGCCATCTCTGCTTGCCTCTAAGGGCCCAGAGCCCCACCGCACAGCTGAACTGCAGCGGGGTCCCCCTGAACTGGAGGCTGAGGGTGGGGCTTGTGTGTGACTGGTCATAACAGCCGTGCTTCAGGGAAGATTGGCTATCACAGGAAAAGTGAGCTTTCTGGGTAGGTGGGGTCATTTCTCTGTTATCTCTATGCCCTGAGCCACAGACGGGGGTGGAGTGGGGCGGGGGCGGGGAGGAGGAGGCTGGGGCTGTTTGGATGGGACCTGGCATGTTGGCAGTGGGTCAGCTGATAGGGCAGAAGTGTTTGGTTTTAACTACCTACATCCTCCCTCCACATGACCACGTCCCCCACATGTGGTCCAGGGCATAGTGAGCCACCTGGAAGGATTTCCTGTAAAGTTTTCAAATGAAGTATGTGCCGCCTTTATGGTCTCTGGTCAAGGAGTCCTGGTGGCACAGTGGTTAAAGTGCTTAGCTGTTAACCAAAAGGTTACTGGTTTAAACCCACCAACCGCTCCATGGGAGAAAGATGAGGCAGTCTGCTTCCATGAAGATTTACAGTCTTGGAAACCCTATGGGGGCTGTTCTGCTCTGTCCTGTGGGGTTGCTGTGAGTCTGAATCAACTCGATGGCAGTGGAGTGGATGGGCTCTGAGTCATAGCGACCCCGTGTACAACAGGAAAAGCTGCCTGGCCTGAGCCAGCCTCATAATCTTTGCTGTACCTGAGCCCATCGATGCAGCCCCTGTGTCAGGCCGTCTCGCTGAGGGCCTTCCAGGAATTTTCTGTCTCTGGTTGCTTCACAGCGGAACGATATTCCAGGTGCAGAGCTGTGGGCGGCCCCGGGCTGAGCATCCTGGCCCTGTTCACACATCGTCAGAGGCCCAGCTGCAGTCCTGGCCATGGCCTCTGGCGTCCGGTGTGTTCTAGGACATACAGGGCCACCTTAGATAGTTAGAGGACCTCATGAGTCCTGGCTGAGGCCTGGGAACCAGCCCAGTCCCCAGGGCCTTGGCAGTGCTGGGCCCCCACCTGCCAGCAGGTGCTGAGCCCTGTTGTGTGTTGGGGCACCTGGGAGGAGAAGCCCTTCCTGAGCCCTTTTATCCACTGTCATTTGCTGTAACTGAGGTGCAGCAGAAAACAGAGGCCTTGGTGTTAGTTACCCTCCCCAGCCACGGAGTGCTCCAGGAGAAATATGTCTGGGACGTCTGCCCTGCACAGCCTGATTTAGGAGCCTAAGGCCTGACTGCTAACCAGAAGGTTGGTGGTTCAAACCCACCAGCTGCTCTACTGAAGGAAGACTGGGCAATCTACTTCCATCAAGATTTACTGCCTCAGAAATCCAAAGGGGATTGCTATGAGTTGGAATCGACTCAAGGGCAGTGGGTTTTTTTTTCTTTTCTTCTTTTGAGGGTTCTCCATTCCTGGGGCAGTGTCCCCAGAAGAGTGTGATCGCCCTGCCAGGATGTTCAGCATGCTTTTCCACGGCTGGGAGACGGGCGCGGTATCCTCCTGCACTGGCCTGGGCTGTGGTCAGCGTCCACCACAGCCTATCTCCTTGTGTGGGCATGAGCAAGGTGTCAGTGGGAAGCACAAGTGTGCAGATATACTTTGAATGGGGGTTAGGCAGAGGCGGCACACAAGCTATTCTCCCCCATAATACAGCCTTTTCACTCCTCTGAGGTAGCCAGTCACATTTATCCTTGTGTAATATCATTTACAAGTAGTTGTGACTGTTGTGGGTCTGTCAGTGGATTTTGCACATTTGCAAGTTTCCTTCCTGATACAGATTGGAAGGTCTAAGTACATGTGAGGAGCTCTGGTAGCATAGTGCCTAAGGCACTTGACTGCTAACCAGAAGGCTGGCAGTTCAAACCCACCAGCCACTCCTCGGAAGGAAGACTAGGCAATCTACTTCCATAGTGATGCTGCCTCGGAAACCCAAGGAGGGGTCGCTCTGAGTTGGGTACAACTCGATGGCACATAACAATAACAACAAGTACATGTGGTAAGGAGAGTTCTAGGAGGCAAAGTTGAAGGCTTTCCTTAGCACACTGGCCAATGTTGAGCGAGGCCCCATCTCCCGGGGTGGCAGTGGGTGAGGGCTGCCGACCTGGTCCCAGACCTGGTCACACTGGGAGAGGCTGGGCCAGCCCCTGTTGAGGTCCTTCTGTGCCACCTGTACGGCATTTCCCTCCTGAATCTCAGGCGCACGTGGGGAGTGACTGCATGGGCCAGCTGCTTCTCATGCTTTCCCACCTGTGACCCTGGTGACTGACGCCCCTGACCTTGGGGTCACTGCAGTGGTGACTCATAGATGCTTCCAGTCTGCAGTGGGGCATAGCAGCTCCGTGAAGCTGCCCTTTGCCAAACCCTTCTGGGGTGGTGCTCATGGTGCTATGCTGTGTGCTGGCTAATTCCCTTTCTACCTATTTAGTCTTTTTTTTTTTTTTTTAATTTTAAGGTTTTCGGATGTTATTCTGGCAACAATTTTGGCAACAAAGTCTGAAATGTGTGGCCAAAAATTTGAACTGAAGATCGATAACGTGCGGTTTGTTGGGCACCCGACACTGCTGCAGCATGCTCTGGGGCAGGTACGACCCGTCCTGGGCAGGTGTGGTTCTCCCTGGGCAGATACGTCCCCCATGGGCAGGTATGTTTTCTTTCTGGGCAGGTACCATTCTAGGTGGGCAGGGTTCCCTGGGCAAGTCCTGTTCTCCCCGGGAAGATACAGCTCATTGCAGTTTTTCCTGGGATGGGACGGTTCTCCTTGGGCAGGCATAGTCCATCCTGGCTCTGGGAGCTGAGCCCTGCATCTGTGGCTTGGCACTTCCAAGCTCTGGGGGTACAGTGGTGAAAGGTCCTCCTCACCCCCCAGTGGTTCAGTCCCTACCCCAAGCTTTTGGACCGTTGTTTGTATTCCAGGTGTCTTCTGACTCTGGCCTTTCCGGGTATGTCTGCTTCCAGGGAGGCCAAGGAAATGAGTTGCGCAGCATCTGCCAAACACTTGTTGGTTCTCTGAGATGGTAGAAGCGTTGCTTCTTACTTGTGCAAGGGTAGCATGAGAGTTCGTGTTACTGAGCACCTTCGACAGTGCCTAGCATCTGTATGTGCTGGGAATTTGACCAAGATGGGGTGCCAGGTCTCTGGTTGTCACCCCAGGGGACAGCTCACCAGGCCCTGCAGACAATATGCAGGGTCTCCACGCAGAGGCGTCTTTAGCTCCGTTTGCGTGACCCAGGAGTTGTGTGCGGTCCCAATCCCGTTATTAACTAAGTGCCTGGAATGAGCTTCTAAGGTGCTGGATGTAGCTGGAAACGCGGCTGTCCAGTTTCCCCAGGCTGGTGTTCTTTGCTGCCCATGGATGCCATGTTCCTGCCTCACTGTGTCCCTCACAGACAATGCCTATCCCCCTTGTTGGGGAAGGAAGAGAGCTTTGGCACCTGCATGTAGCTGCAGTCCTGCCTGGTGCCCGAGTCAGCTTTGTAGGGCACACGTGTGAGTGAGATGCTGGAGCAGGGCCCAGAGAGAAGGGCTAGTTCAGAGTGAGGCTGACCCCCCCTTCCCGGCCCAAGCCTGCTCAGGTCTCTGCTGTCCTGTACTGTCCTGAGTGCCGTCACTCCTGCAGAGAAGCCTGGGGAGATGCAGGTGGACACGGGACAGTGAGCGTAGGCAGACAGCATTCAGTCAATTTCAGCCCCTCTGTCGCACCTCCTCTGGGCACGTCTGTGCATAGGCAGGTCTTATCCCACTGGGACGGAATTAGACCTTCCAGTCTTAGCACAGACGGCCTGGCTCTGCCTGTCCGTGCGGCAGACACTCGCCTGGCCCTCAGAGACCCTGAGCTCTGTCCTCTCCCAGCCCTGCTACACCCTGGGCATCTCTGGGCTAGAAGTGCAGCGGCTCTCTGCAGCCTTTCTTGGGAGCTGTGGCCTCTTTTATAGAGTGATGTCTCCTTTACAGGCTTCCAAAACAGATCCATCCCCAAAGAGAGAGACGCCCACCATGATTCTGTTTAACGTGGTGTTTGCACTGAGGGTGAGTGGCTGGTGTAAATGGCTGGAGGGGACCAGCAGCGGGAGGTGGGGGAGGCAGTGTTTCTATTGAGTGTGTCCCTGACTCTGTTCAGACTGCCTTGGGTGTGGCTCCTTCCTGGGGTTCAGGCCCCTCCTGGGGTACAGCAGGCTTCTCTGGGGATGCAGACTCCCTCTTGGGGTGTAGGCCTCTCTTGGGGTGTATGCCTCTCCTGGGGTACAGCACGCTCCTCCTGGGATGGAGGCAGAACCCAGGCCTCATTACTTCTCAGGCACTCTGTAGCTCTATGTAGGGTTGTGTCCTGACTAGTTATAGGAAGTCCCTTTTCAGTGAAGCTGCCAAAACACTGAGGTGCAGATAAAGAGAAAATGCTCCTGGTAAGGACTGGCTTTTGTCATGAAGGGCTGTGAGATACTAATGACCCTTGTACCCAAACCAGAAACCAAGCTCACTGCCTTTGAGCTGGATCCTACTCACAGTGACCCCTCCTTGGGTTTCTGAGGCAGTATCACTATGGAAGTAGATTGCCCAGTCTTCCTTTCGAGGAGCAGCTGGTGGGTTTGAACCACCAGCTTTCTGGTTAGCAGTCAAGTGCCTTAGGCACTACGCCAGCAGAGATCCCTCCCTTGTACCCAGTGGTGGTTAAATAGGGGGACTCTTTGGAGCTGGAGATGCCCCGGGGTCAGCTCTCACCAGGGAACTGAGTGTCCTGCAGTCTTCACGTGACTCTGCCCGAAGGCTCACGTGCAGGGGTGTCAAGGAGGGCTGGCCGAGCCCTGGTGGCTGAGCCTGCAGTGCAGTTCTGTAGAGTGAGCTGACAGCAAGGCGTCAGGAGGGCCCTCTCACAGGGGCCCATGGGTCCAAATGGCTCATGGCCATGGCCAGACAGAGAAGAGCCCCTGTTGGGTGGCCACCCTGCTAGCAGTGGAGGATGCAAGTGACCAGGGGCTGTCTCTGGAGTCCCAGGGTCCCAGGGGACACTACAACTCTGTACCTTATCCCTGTGAAGCAGCCTGGGAGAGGAGAACCCAAACTATGACAGTCCCGTCCCCTTCAGCACCGATCAATCGGGGCATCATGGACTCACCGGGCGGTGCAGGCAAGTCCCCTTCTGGAGAGTGGTGAGGACAGGCCCTCCAGCATCCCACTTTGGAGCCTGCCAGGAAGTGTGCAGATTGTAAGACTGCACAAAGATTTTTATGATCGTAATTACAGTGGAAGCCTAGTGTCCCGCTGTTGGTCGTTTGACATGGCAGTTTACGCAGAGCAGCATGTGTCCTTGAGAGGCAGAGACATGGACGAGGTGGTCCCTAGAGAGGTGTGGAGATGACTCCTGCTGAGTGATAGTGACAGGAAGTAAAACAGCACGGCCACAGCTGGTGCAGCAAGGGAGTTTGGTAACGCCAAGGGTCAGTCTTTAGGGTGGACAAGACTGTCTCCTTCTTTTTAGTAGTCACAGGAAAATGTCTACTCAGCAGAGTTTGGAGAGCCCTCCCATAGCCGTCTGAGGTTCACAGCCATCAAGCTTGCACCCCGGCTCCCCGGCTTCCTTCTCTCACACTCTGTTGCTCAGACAAACCCAGACCTGTGGTCTTTTTACCCCGAATGACTTCAGACCATGGCTCTGTGAAATATGCCACAATGTCTGATGCACGTCCGACAAACTTCACCACGAGGCGCTGTACCAGCTAACACCTCCATTGAGCATGCCCCCGTTGCCATCTGACCCGTGCCATTGGATAGGGCCTCTTACCTCCTGGCCAGCCTAGAGCACCCCTTGTCCCCGTCCTGATTGTCTGTTCTCTGTGCCCAAGTTTCTGCCAGCAGGACATTAGCTGTGAGCTAGCTCACACCCACGTGGGGTTCTGGGGCTAGAGCAGCTCAGACCCCACTGGGGGCTTGGGACAGCTTAGTGTGTCCGTGACAGACAGCATTGGTGTGGCCTGTTCTTCAGAGGACAGTCAGGTGACCAGGCCCTTCCCCTGTTCTACTGGGGGTGTTGTTCTCCCCAGGATCTGTTTCACGTGTCTTTTGTGAGTATATTTACCCTACAAAACCAGGTCCCCATCCTGTGGCCTTTAGGGGAGCAGCTGTTGACAGCTGTTGACAGCTAGGGACAACCTAGACGCAGAGGGTGCAAGGCTGCAGTCTGGGCTGGGAGCATGCTCGTCCCCTCTGCGGCCTGGAGGGTGGGACGCTGGCTTGAGTTCTGTGTGACTCTCTTTAGTCCCTGCAGAGAACATGCTGCTGAGCTCAGGTTTGGGCTTTGGCCAGAGGTTGGCTGTGGGCCGCTGTGGGCCTGGGCCTGCTCACCAGATAAGCAGGGGAGGCAGCATCTAAGGCCCCAGTCAGTGGCCCCACCCATCCCTCTGCCTTCTCCCCCACCTCTAGAATGACTCATCAGTCCTGTTGCCTCCTGAAACCCTGAGTCATGGTGCCACTATCTGTGCCTGAAACACCTTCCCAGACCTGCCTGGCCCCCCTGTGATCCCGATAGGCTCCAGTGGCTGAGGCAAGGCCCTTCTTGTTCCTGAGAGCCTGTGTACCACCTTGAAGGGTTCCGCTCAGGTGGGGTATGGGAGTGGGGCTTGGCCTCTCATCCTTGTGCTGAGTTTCTCTAAGGGAAAGTATTCAAGGGACAGATGGGATAGTGTGCCCTGCTGGGACGGCCTGTTAGTTCTGCCTCCACATCTTACAGGCAGGCTCGGCCCCAAGCACAGCCCCAAGCACTGCCCAGCATTTGAGCTGGGTATTACCATCCGACTGCCTTACATGTTTGACCAGACCCCTCCTCTCGGCAGCCATTACTTTTCCTCGAATGAGGAGACTGGTACTCATGGTGACATGGCGGGTGGGTGGGCAGGTCTGTGCCTTCAGCCAGCCCTTCTCTGGTCACCCTGGTCAGGGGCTGAGCAGAAGTCACCCTCCCCCTGCCCTCTTGTGCTAGCCCAACATGGTGGCCCCACTATGCAGCACCGCCATCAGGGGACTCTACAGAGCTCTGTTCCTGTCCCTGCAGCAACTTTCAGGATCGGACTAGGCACAGCTGTCCCCACTGCCACGCTGCACCCTGTGCCACTGGGCCACATGTTCAGGGGTTGCTTTCATTTCTGAGGAGGGTCTCAGGAAGGCATGCAGGGGACAGCCCAGCCGTGGCCTCTGGGGAGAGAAGCAGGGGTCCCGTCACATGGGCTTCTATAGGGAGCCACCCACACTTCCCTCACATGCATGTGAGCCACGTGCACCCACCCGTGCAGGCCAACGCGGACCCGTCGGTCATCAGCTGCCTGCACACCCTGTCACGACGCATTGCTGTGGTCTTGCAGCATGAGGAGCGACGCTGCCAGTACCTCACCCGTGAGGCCAAGCTGATCCTGGCTCTGCAGGACGAGGTCTCCGCCGTTTCCAACGGTGAGCGCACTGGGTGGTCTGTGCAACGGGCCCAGCACCTCCCACCTCTGTGCTGGCCTCGGGAGGGGTTGGCACCTCCTGCTGGCTCAGAACTGGGGGTGCAAGAGCCTCCCAGGCAACTGGAAGTGAGAGGGCAGATGTAGAGTGGGCCTGTGGGACCAAATGTGGAGTCGGCTTGGAAAAGCTCTGGGGCCTTGAGTGTATTTTTTGATTGTTGGCTGTCAACACGTGAAGCCCATGGAGGGTTTGGACAGTTAGTTATATAATTACAATCCTGATGATCAGGGTCCAGAAGAAGCTGTGGTTTTTTAAGGGTTCTTTCCACAATCACCAGAAGAAAGAAAGAAATTTTAGTTTAAGCATGTTTGAGAGATTCACGAAAATGTTTCAAGAAAAGACAGTCGTATAACTGGATTGCATGACATAAACCTATGTGTGTGTGCAGTGGGGATGCCTGGGCAGGGAGGAGGCATGTGGGTTTGGGGGGCTGTGGAGAAGCTCTCGGGGACAGCATTCTGCCAGTGACAAGAGGGCCCAGTGAACTCCAAACACACATGTTCCATGGAGACACAAAATAGATCCACTGCCTTGAGTTCTGATTCACCTGGATGTCGTCGTTGTCGTTGTTTGCTGTCGAGTCGGCCCCGACTCATAGCAACCCCTCCTTGGGTTTCCGAGGCAGTATCACTACGGAAGTAGGATTGCCCAACCTTCCTTCCGAGGAGTGGCTGGTGGGTTTGAACCGCCAGCCTTCTGGTTAGCAGTCAAGTGCCTTAGCCACTGTGCTACCAGAGGATGTAGACTTATAAAAAGGAGCGGAGAATTTCCAAATGTTTGATTTCAGGTTACTTAACTGAAACCTGTTCTGTCGATTCTGACCATACCAGCCGTCTGGGGCAGAGCAGAACTGTTGTTGTTGTTGTTGTTATGTGCCATCGAGTTGGCCCCAACTCATAGCGACCCCTCCTTGGGTTTCCGAGGCAGTTATCACTACGGAAGTAGGATTGCCCAACCTTCCTTCCGAGGAGTGGCTGGTGGGTTTGAACCGCCAGCCTTCTGGTTAGCAGTCAAGTGCTTTAGGCACTATGCTACCAGAGCTCCCAGAGCAGAACTAGCCCATAGGATTTCCCATGAGGTCGGTCTTTATAGAAGCAGACTGCCACATCTTTCTCCCGTGGAGTGGCTGGTGAGTTCAAACTGCTGACCTTCTGGTTAGCAGCCAAGCACTTAACTACTGTGTTCCCTGTTGTGGCCTGTAAAGGTCTGCTAGTCTGGAAACTGTAAATCTTCCAATTTGGCATTCTTGCAGCAACCGAAGGCCCCCAATCCCCGTTCCATCACATCCTGCCCAAGTGCAAGCTGGCCAGAGACCTCAAGGACGCATATGACAGGTGAGACAGGCAGTGGTGGCCCCAGGCCTCTGTGGCAGGCCACCACCTTGGGTGGTGCTGTTCCTGTTTGGGTGTTGGGGAGGGGCAGACACACCCAGCACCACCTGCAGGCGGGTGTGAGGATCTCAAAGCACATTCTAAGTGTGACACGGAGCCAGGTCCCTGACCTGTCCCCTCATGTCACGGTGGCACTGGGTGTTGGGAGAAGTTGGTGCTGGGGTGTTGAATGTCTGAAGGTGGCTAGTGTCCTAAGACATCTAGACCCTCCCAGGTGTTGGGTTACATGGGGGGTATGGTACTAGCTCTGTTGGGGTGTGATGGTCTCTTGAGCAGCTCTCCCTTGTGTTCTGGGTCTCTTGAGCTGGTCCCTGCCTCATCTCTGTTGGAATGGGTAGCTGCCCTTACAGGAGGGCCACCTGTCTTTTGGAATCTAAGTTGTAGTTGTTCAACCATCTTTGACCTTATTTCAGTGACCTCTAGGTGTGGGTCTTCCCCATCACCACCAGGCAGTTTGAAACGGGCCTTTTGTGGGGATCACTTTGGTTTCTGGTCCCTTCTGCTCTGGGCAGCTGAGCCTCTCTGTGGTCCTGTGACCCTTCTCTTTCTGTCTCACGTTGTCACATCAGCCTTTTCCTTGTGATAAGCTTGTGACTGCTCCCCAGTCTTGACTTGCTGGTCTCAGGAACCCTTATTCTGAAAGTGTGCCCTTACCCTGAGTGACACGTACATGCTTCAGTTCGAATCAGGCTCCAGCTTCACTTGGAATTTTCTTAAAAAAGCAAGCCATCCACTTTAAAGAAAAAAAGGAATGTGGTTTCTTTCATGTGAACTCTATAGGAAAGTTAGAGGCCCACCTCTATTGGGACAGGCAACTGCTGGGCCAGACTGAGGTGCAGCGCCACCTACAGGACACATGACGTGGCTTCAGGGGTCACCCCCAGCCCCACCCTGGGCTGCCAGTACAGGTCTTGCTGTAAGAGGGAGTGTGAGTGCCCCTGTGGTGTGGAACAGACCAGACGCCAAGGCTCCTGGGGTACAGCTGGGGCTTAGAGCAGATGTGACTGTTGGCCTGGAGTGGCCCGGGGACTGAGCTTGGGAAGCACTGCCCAGGGTCACCCTGGAGCATAAGGGCTGCGGAGGTGCCTGCGTGCTGCTGACGGCCGAGGGCAGCGTGGGCTGGGGGCCTTTTTCAAACATTCTGAGACAGAGTCCCTGTGTCTGTGAAAATACACGCATGGGTAATACTCCGTGTGCAGTGCCAGGTGGGCCTTTTGAAGTGCCCATGCCCAGGCAGGAGGAGCTCCTGGTGCTGGGAACAGATGGTCTCTTGGGCAGGGGTGCTGGCATCTGTCCCAAGGAGACACCAAAAAGGACTGAAGTCAGGATTCAAGCTGACGCGAGGGTGGTGGAGTAAGCTGTCACATTCCACCTTGGATGTGGAGGTTAGGGTACATGTGAAGGCCACGTTCCGTCTCTGCAGTCCTGTCCAGGCTGGGGTCTGACGGGCAAACCTTGGGGCACAGCATTATCCTACCAGGCATTTTACTGACAGGCCCACAGAAAGCTTCACAGAAAACATAGGGCCGGGCCCTTCTGTGTTGGAGAGTCTCATCTTCAACGTTTAGATTTTAGGAGCACGGACAGACCTTTCCCTTCCCTGCGACAGACTTCTGGGGCAGCTCCTGGCTCCCCTAAGCCTGTGCCTCCTGGGAGCTAGTGGTGGCAGCAGGCGTATACCTGGCCTCCCCTGCAGGGTCTGCCCGACTCCTCTGAGGCCTCCTGGACGGTCTGTCGGCATCCCTAGTTGCACCAGCCTCAACATATGCTGGCTGGTAGAAGGCACTGGCTGCCCGCACTTGACTGGAGGTGGGTGTCTTGGTGGACCCGACCCCCAAAAATAGCAGAGCAGAGTCGGACTCTCCTGGGAGTGACGGGAAGAGGGCAGGGGTTAAAGAACAGGGGAAATGGAATGATGGGTGTGCAGAAGTGGCCTCTCACAGGAGGCCCTGGAGACAGGCGCTGTGGGTCACTATGCAGGCACAGGCGCGCTCTCCTGTGGCTCCTGGGTTGGCCCAGGTTGGCTGCTGAGTCAGATCTCCTGGAGCCTTCACTAGCAGCCCTCCTGGTCTGGGCTCAGGCTTGCCTGTCTCCTGTTCCCCTCAGACCATCAATGGAGTGGAAGTAGGGGGCATGACCTACCAAGGAATCAGACCCCTAGGCCCAGGGAGGTCTGTGTGGAGGGCTCAGTGCTGTCATAGCTCTCTCCTTGCCCACACCCAGCTGGCCTGGATATGTGGCCAGGGCTCCTTGTCTTTCCACAGGGCCCGGCCAGGTCCCCTGCGAACTCCCCACAGAGCCAGGCCTGGCTGAGCTGAATGCAGAACCCCCTGCCCGTTCTTTACTGGCCCTGACCCTACACCCTGCCCATGGGTCTGACCACACCCCCCTGTAAAGTCAGGACCCTCTGAGAGGGGCTCCTGGGCACTTAGGCCACTCGGAGAGGGCAGGGGTTCCTTGGCCGCTACCTTCCTCATGAAATCCTTCTGTGGGCCTGTCACGTGCCAAGGTGCTGGGTGAGCCCCTCTCCTCACCAGCTGGAATGCTGGTTGGGAGGTGAGCCGAGTGAGGGGCTGAGCACAGGCCAAGAGGCCTGAGTGCACAGGTGGCGTGGCACTGAGCACAGGTATGTGTGTGGCTGGGCCAGAGAGGTAGGGCAGCTGGAGCAATGTTGCCAACATCTGGCTGGTCATGGGCTTTGTGGCTGAGGTGGGGCAGGTTTGAGTAGGGAATGCCAGATGGACAGGCAGATGGACTGATGGAGGACAGATGAATGGATGGAGTGACAGATGGAGGGAGAGACAGGTGACGGGCTGGCTGGATGGACAGAGGGTGGATGCTGGGCCAAGGTGTGCTGCGGGGCGGCCAGGGACAGGCAGTGCTCTGGGCCCCGGCCATGGCCTGCAGGTAGAGCGCACAGCACTGGTGGTGGTCCAGGGTGGGTGTGGGTGTGGTTACAGTTCAGGGCCTGAGAGAACAGGGTCACCACATCCAAGGTGGGGGTATGTGGGCACTGGGGGGTGGCAGGCTGGTCTGGATGGGTTTCTTACAGTGACTGCTGGTCTCTACATGTAAAGGACCCAGCATTGCACCAGAGGGGCCACCAGCACTGGCCAGCTCTCCTGGGTCCTGGCACCACCTGCCCTGACCCTCTTACCAGCCCCTCACTTTTAGAGACAGGTCCTTGCCCTGGCCACACCTGTGACTCCATCAGGGGTCAGGGCAGGTCCTGGGTGTGGCTGGCTGTCAGGACTGGAGCCTGGGTGGGTAAGGGGGCACAGAGAGTGGGCGAAGGCATAAGGAGGGGTGGGTGAGGGAGCGTGAGGTGGATGTAGGGGCATGGGGTGCAAAGGAGGGGATCTGGGGCAGGAGTGAGTTGGCTCTTGCCCCATGTAGAGAGGACGCTTTCAGCCCCAGGACAGACAGATGGTACTTCTCGAACCCCAGGTGCCCTTTCTGGCCTAGCAATGCCAAGGCTGCCAGGAATCTTGTGTTTGTGGCCCGCCCTGCGTCCCCGGCGAGACTGAGCGTGCGCCTTGGTGTGCCGGGTGCCGGTGCGGACGCTGCACCCACACTGCCCTGTGCTCTCTGCAGCCTCTGCTCCTCGGGCGTCGTGCAGCTGCGCATCAACAACTGGCTGGAGGTGAGCTTCTGTCTGCCCCACAAGATCCACTATGTGGCCTCGAGCCTGATCCCGCCTGAGGCCATGGAGCGGAGCCTGAAGGCCATCCGGTGAGCATCCCCGCAGCCTCCTCTCCCCCGAGGACTCTTACCATCTGTGGGCTTGGCCACCACCACACACCTCTGTCCTCTGCCTGCAGCCCCTACCATGCCCTGCTGCTGCTCACCGACGAGAAGTCTCTGCTGGCCGAGCTGCCTGTGGACTGCTCCCCGGCCCTGGTGCGTGTGATCAGGACCGCCACGGCCGTGAAGAACCTGCAGCAGCTGGCCCAAGATGCTGACCTGGCGCTGCTGCAGGTACCACTTCGGGTCTGGGTGACAGGGCTGCCCACGGCAGGTGTTTCTTCGGGATGGACTCAGGTTCTGGTATCTGAATCAGACCAGGGTCAGGGCTGCAGGACTGACCTCATCTGTGTCGAGGGTGGTACTGGCTGTGTGAGGGCTGAGGAAGGCCACCCCCATGCTGGGGCACAGCTCAGGCAGGAGCAAGTGCAGTTGGTGGGAGCCTCACCTCAGGTAGTCCCCCCCTCAAAAAACAACAAGAAGAAAACTCACTGCCGTTGAGTCGGATCTGACTCATAGTGACCCCTCATTGGGTTTCCGAGGTGGTATCACTACGGAAGTAGATTGCCCAGCCTTCCTTCCGAGGAGTGGCACGTGGGTTTGAACCGCCAGCCTTCTGGTTAGCAGTCACATACCTTAGGCACTATGCCACCAGAGCCCCCCCCCTGCAGGGGCACAACAGCCTGGAAGCTCAGGAGAGAAGCTCGTGTCCGCAGAGGCAGGACGTGAGTGCAGGCCAGTGGCTCACCCATAGTGCTGACCGCTGCACTGTGTGTCTGCACAGCAGGGGAGCCCCTCCACCAACAGAGCCTCATCTGAGGTCTGGCTCCTGGGCATGAAGAAAAGCAGAGAAGTGGGAGGGGACGGCCTTGGGCGACAGGCTGTTCCCCTTGCTCATCATTCATGATCACTCAGGACTGAGTAGCACTGGTGGCTGGGGTGGGTGGTGGGCACCATGCCTGAGGCCAGATGAGGGTTCAGGCGTGGAGAGGCCATAGACCATACCCGATGACATTAATGCAGGGCCAGTGTGCACTGTGTGGCCACCAGGGGGCAGCAGAGCCTCAGCTCTGGGACCCCACTGCCAGCGTGGCAGCCAGAGCTTCAGGCCAGGCTGGGGCAGCCCTGGGGGTTTCTGGGGCCCTCTGGCTCCACTGGCCATCCCCACTGAGCTGTCTCCCTGGAAGGCAGGACCCCACGGCACCTTGCTGCCTTCCCGTTACACAAGCTTATCCCCGAGGCTCAGAGCACACTGCTTTTTCCCAAAGAAGCCTTTTGGGATCTCTTCATTCATAGCAAAGGAGGCCTGGTGTTGCAGTGGTTAAGTGCTTAGCTGCTAACTGAAAGGTCGGTGGTTCGAACCCACCAGCTACTCCAGGGGAAAAAGATGTGGTAGTCTTGCTTCTGTGAAGATTGACAGCCACAGAAATCCTGTGGGCAGTTCCATTGTTTCCTGGAGCACCGAGTCAGAATCAGCTGGACGTGGGTTTTGGTTCCTCTGTCCCACTCCTTTGTCCACCTCTATAAGAGCACTTCCCAGGCACCACGTGGCTGCTTCCGTATCATCTCCCAGAGGGGAAAACCCAGTATGACCTGTCCTGCCCTCGCATATTGTCTGTGGGGCACAGGCCCTGCACAGCAGCGTGAACAGTGCTGGCTGTTCTGTCTAGGGGGCCGTCCGACGTGGGGCCCGTGTGCCGGCTGTTCTGTCTGGGGGGGCTGTCCGATGTGGGGCCTCTGTGCCAGCCGTAATGTCTGGGGGGCTGTCTGATGCCTGTGTGCCGGCCGTTCTGTCTGGGGGGCTGTCTGATGCCTGTGTGCTGGCGTTCTGTCTGGGGGTCTGTCTGATGTGGGGCCATGTGCCCTGACATCTTGCCTTGCCCTTGCTATGGGAGCTTTGATGTCCCTTTCTTGCCCTCTTCACTTCCCGTCCTCCCTCCCTGCAGCCCCGTTTTCTTTGTTGTTTCTGTCTGCGTTTGCCACTCGTGTGGCTGCACAGAGCCCCTGGGGTCCAGCCCTGATGGCACTCTCTGACCTTTGGGGGGTGGTATTGGCCCTGCAGGCAGTCCAGCCAAACCCAGGTGTGCCTTGAGCCAAAGAGGACACCAATGGTGGGCAGGTCCATGCTTCTTAGACCTGTTCACAGGCTCTGGTCCACTGTGGGAGGGTCTGAAGACCCGTCCCCATGCTGGGTCCCTGTGGATGCCCACATTCCAGGGTGAGAGCCAGGATAACCTCAGGCCCAGGCATGGTGAGACAGCACCAGGTGCCTGAGGGGCCCTGCAGGACGCTCTCCCAGCCGCTTCTCTCTGCCCACAGGTGTTCCAGCTTGCAGCCCACCTGGTGTACTGGGGCAAGGCCATCATTGTGTACCCACTGTGTGAGAACAACATCTACATGCTGTCGCCCAACGCCAGTGTGTGTGTGTGAGTGCCCTGCACGGCTGGGGGGCCGTGAACAACATCTACATGCTGTCACCCAGCACCAGTGTGTGTGTGTGTGTGTGTGAGTGCCCTGCACGGCTGGGGGCCGTGACTCTCCTGCACTGCAGCTTCCAGTTGCGTGTGTCCCAGGAAGGGGCAGGTGGAGCTCAGTAGGGCCCAGGACTGAGGGACTGTGGCTGCCCCAGATGAAGCCTGAGCTCTGTCCAGCTGAGGGCCGTCAGATGTCGATGTACACTATCTCCCCTGGGCTCCTGTGACCCCTCACTGCCCCATGGCAGGGGCACCAAAGTTGTGGGGCATTGTTCCCTGGAGAGCTCAGCACAAAGCGCACAGCCCGGTGTGGGGGTTCTGTGCTGAGCCCTGCCATCACCCTCCGTCCAGGTACTCTCCGCTGACTGAGCAGTTCTCCCGCCAGTTCCCATCACACGACCTGCCATCTGTTCTTGCCAAGTTTTCCCTGCCCGTCTCCCTGTCGGAATTCAGGAGCCCCCTGGCACCCCCAGTGCCAGAGGTGAGTCACAGTACTCCCAGGGGCCTGGGTACAGTGGGTGTGGACAGCCCTGACCACAGGGACCCTCTGCACCACTGCCTACATGGGTCTGTTTCTGGGCCTGAACTGCAGGGACTTACTGCCTGGCCGTGGTGACGGCACTGGCTGCTCCCCTCCCCCAAGGAGCCCACCCAGGCTCTAGTGGGTGGAGTTCTCATGGGGGCAAACTGGGAGGCTGGCCCGGGCTGGACTGGGCCGGCCTGGGTTTCTCCCACAGACCAGGGGTGCAGAGAGGCCACAGGATCTCAGGATATGACTGTCAGGACAATTGGTCCCCAACTGAGAGGGCAGACAGACCTGGGGCCCTGTCCAGGGAGCTTCCTGAGGGCCTTGGGCTTAAGGGATGGCAGGTGTGAGGTCCACACCCCTTCTCACTGCTGCAGTGGGCCCAGCAGGACTGTTTGGGACAGGCAGTTGGTTCTCTCAAGGTTTTGTCTTCAAAAGTGAAGTGTTAGTGAGTGCCGACTGGCTAGGTCCTGTCCCCCTCTGACTTGGGAGGGTCCCAGTACCTCTCTGCTGGGATGCTGTGACAGCTGCCAAAGCAGCCTTTCCCGGCGCTGTTTCCAGGCTTAAGTCAGGCTGGCGCCAAATTAAAGTCCCTGTAGGTCTGCCCCCCACACCCCTCTGGGCAGTGCTGAGGGAGGTGGACATTGTCGGCTGAAGCCCCCTGGTCTACATACACTTTTATCAGATTTTTCCAGGCCGTGCCCTTTCAGGAGGTGGAAGGGGCTGGTCAGAACTTCACAGGCCCAGGGTGGAGCCTCCCCACCCCGTGTTGATTGAAGACTCATCAAACCCTTACTTTCTTAGTTTGTCAGTGTAGGTATTTTACGGTGCTTTCACATTTCGGTGGGTTTTGACCACAGTTCATCCCCTCCCACACCCTCCCTGGCCACCTCCTCCAGGCAGCCCAGCCAGCAGCTCTTTGGCTGTCCTAAGGATGTTCTGAGTGTGCTGCTAGACTCTGCTGCAGCTGTGGCCCGATGATAATGATGATGGCTCCTTCCACATACGGGAGGGGCTCTCGTCGCTCAGGGAGGGCAGGGGCGAGGTCAGCACCATGCTCTAGGGGCTGCCCAGCCTCCTCCTGGCACTCACTGGGGGCTTTTCTGCTCTGGGGTCCAGCCAACAGAAAGGGTATCTCTGTGGACTCAGCTGCATGTGGTAGCTGTTGGAGGGGATGCTGACAGGGCCCTCCTGCCCCACTGTGAGGTAGCCCAAGTCTGGGGTGGGCTGCTGCACGAGTGATCTGGGCTGGGTGAGCTTCCCCCAGCTTCCTGGGGGCAGACTGCTTTGTAGAGCTGGCCAGCTGCCAAGGCACCTCTTCCAAGGTGAGGGGCCTTCCCGGCTACCATCTGTCCCGGCTAGCCCCCAGGTGACTGGGGTTGCATGTGGCTCCCTCCCCACTGCTGGCTTCACCCCTCCTGCAGACCCAGCTCATTCAGATGGTGGTGTGGATGCTGCAGCACCGGCTCCTGGTCCAGCTGCACACCTACGTCTGCCTCATGGCTGCACCCCGCGAGGAGGAGGCTCGGCCTCGTGAGGACGACCTGCCCCTTCCTGCCCGCGTCGGGGGCCGCAGCCTCAGTACACCCAATGCCCTCAGCTTCGGCTCTCCAAGTAAGAGGACCCCCAGGGCATCCATCCGGCCATAGTAGGTGGTGCTAGGAGACACAGGGGCACTGCTGTGAGTGACGCTCACTCCTAAGGCTGCACATACGTGCAAACATGTGCATGCACACAAGTGGACATTCACACACACGTGCATGCTTACACTCACATATATATCCACATGCACATGCCCCATGCATGTCCACACTTGCAAGTACACCCCACCCATACACTTAACTTCTGTGTATACCATGTACACACACAGCATTCATACCCATTGTACACCCCACTTACATGCACCTCATGTACACACACATCCACCCACCTGCACACGCATACACTCCCACGTACACTGCTCACATGCATGCACACTCACATACTCATGTATACACCCCTCCACATGCATGTTCACATCCCTTCCTGCACCCCCTCAATGCAAGGGCTGCTTGTTCAGATCCTCTGCTCAGTACCTTCATGCTATTCAAGAAAGAGGGGCCCTGTTGTCTGTACTGACTGTCCTAGGGGTTCAGGGAGAGGCAGTATCACCCCTTAGGGGTGAGGTTCTGCTGAGCTCCTTGGCACTAAAGAAGCACTCTCAAGTTGGGGTCCTTGGGTCTGGAATGCAGAGCCCTGACCCTACCCCCACAGCCAGCAGTGACGACATGACCCTGACCAGCCCCAGCATGGACAACTCCAGCGCTGAGCTGCTTCCCAGTGGGGACTCGCCCCTCAACAAGAGGATGACGGAGAGCCTGCTGGCCAGTCTGTCGGAGCACGAGCGTGAGGCCATCCTCAGTGTGCCTGCTGCCCAGAACCCCGAGGACCTGCGCATGTTCGCCAGGTAGGGCTCCCCGGAGGGGCAGGGGGTTGGGATCCCAGGGGGCGAGCAGCACGGGCCTGGGGCTGTGACTGAGGCCGATGCCCTTACCAGGCTCCTGCACTATTTCCGGGGCCGCCACCACCTGGAGGAGATCATGTACAACGAGAACACACGGCGTTCCCAGCTGCTCACACTCTTTGACAAGTTCCGAAGCGTGCTGGTGGTAACCACCCACGAGGACCCCGTCATTGCCGTCTTCCAGGCTCTGCTGCAGTGAGACGGCCCACCAGGCCAGGAGCAGGGAGAGCACCGGCAGTCCCCCAGACCCCCTTCCTTCTTCCCGACTCTGCCCCCAGCCTGTGTGTGGGCCCAGTACCCTGGGGACTGGACGGGGGCATCTCCCGTGGTCCCCGTGCTCGTGGCCTTGCTTGCCCAGCTGAGAATTCCACACCTCGATGCCAGGGACTGAGCTGTCACCTGTGCATGTTCCTATGGGATGGGAGGTACCCCCACACAGGGACCCTGCCCTTCCTGTCCGTGAACAGAGCTGACTTCAGATGGTCACTGACACTGAGGGGCTCTAGCCAGGGCCCAGACACCACTGTTCTAGAAACAAATGCATTTATTTGGTCACTAAAAGACTAAAAGCCTGTCAGAGTAGAGCCCGTGCTCAGGTCTGTGTCTGCTCAGCCGTCCTGTCCACCACGCTGACGAAGGGGCTGCCACGCACGTAAAAGCGCAGGGGCTTCTGGGCCCACTCCCCTGCTCGGCCGACGCCCACTCGGGCTGCAGCCACCACTGATGGCTCAGGCCCTGGGGGTCCGCGCTCCATCCACATGGCCCCATCTGTGGTCAGATCCCGCTGGTCAAAGCTCTTATCGATGGCCAGGGCCTGGCACAACTTGGAAGGGCCATTGCAGAGCTCACGATCCTTGAGGGCTCGGCTGGAGGCGCCCTTCCTGAGGGTGCTACGGAGCTGGCGCATGGTCTCCAGGCCCCCCAGGGGCTCCAGCGCTCGCAGCAGGACACACGACCCATCCCCTGCAGGACAGATGGACAGCCTGGACAAGAAGCTCCCCCTAGACATCCCCACCACACCCGATGCTACAGGCGGATGGAGCTGCCTCCTGAGTGGGAGAAAGGAAGGGTCCTCAGTGTGTCCATACCCTTGGCCCACCTCCTCCCCCTCCTGCCTGCCCTCTGCCCTCAGCTGTGGGGGACCTATGAAAATGGGCCTGGGGAGCATGGGCCCACATTCCCCTGGTCTGAGATAGGCACCATCAAGGAAGCCCTAGAGCCTGCTCCCACCCTCAGCTGGCCCTGGCTCCTTGCTCACCATGCCTGCTACCACCCTGTGACTCCAGAGGGTGGCAGGCCCACATAGCCACCCTTGACCCTCCTGGGTCCCCTCCACCACTCGACTGGGGTAACTCAGAGGCCCAATATGGCAACACTCCAGGGTCCACGGATGCATCTGTCCAAATTCTGCTCCATAGGTTTCCAGGACCAGAGGTCACACAGAAGTGTGATGGACACCAAGGAGTCTGTTTCCAAGACACCTATCCCAACTCACCTGTGCACTGCATTGGCCTGAACCACTCCTGAGCCCCCTCCCAGGGCTAGGCTCCAGGTGCAGCCCCCCAGGTGGGGCTGGGGCCGCACCTGGGAGGGACCACTAACTAGCCTGCAGGAGCCTCCCAGGGTAGCAGCAGCAGCCACATACCACCCATACCTGCAGGCACCAGGTTTGGGACCAGGTACCCTTAACTAGCCAGTTTTCAAACAATGCAAGATACAGAGGTGAGTCCTGAAACATGCCCCTGCCTACAGTCTCTGCACTGCTCCTGGCCCAGCCGTGTGCAGAGCTATAGGACCTCCATCTCACGAGCACCCCCAAGTCTCATTTTCCTACATCAGAAATGAAGGAGCAGCCTGGCTGGCCACATACCTCACTCTCCTGCTCTGGGCTCCTTCCCAGAGTGTGAGTCTCCATACCCCACCCAGTAAAGTGAACCTGACACCCTGATCGGCCGGTGAGAACCCCCATCGTGGACCCACGCTCAGCCCTCCTCCCCTCAAGCCCAGTCCTCACCCTCCCCCTTTTTCTGTGAACTCCCCCACGCGTGACCTGGCCCTGATCACTGGGACCATGTGGGATCCCTGCCCTCTCAGGCCTAGATGTCCCCAGGGTACCTTAGGTGCCCAGAAAGTAATGTGTAACTGCTTCCTACTCCCTACCCTGGAAACTTGGTCCTTATGGGATCTCTGATTTCTCAACTGGGTTCTCTGTCTCCCCCTCTCTCCGGGTCCCATGAGTTTAGTTCAGCTGCATGTAAGGGCCCCGTCGGTGACCACTGAGCTCTCCAGGGTACGGATGGGCCTCCAGTGGGGGTTTCACCATCTGACACCCACTCTGTCCAGCATCCCAATGAACACCTGCTCCAAGTGGGCTTGGTACCTTGCTCTGGGTCCTCTTGCGTTCACCCCAATCCCAGCTCTGGCATGGCCCAGGCCACCAGCTACACACTCCAGTGGCCTGGCTCCTAACCTCACTATATCCATCCAACAAAGACCTGCCATGTGCTGGCCCTGCACCCTTACAGCCTCCCCAGGTAACTGCATCTCAGGACAGAGGATCGAGGACAGTGCCAAGGACTTAGTCCCCGTCTGGCTGCTTCCTCCATGAGTACAAACCACCTGGACACAACCCCAGAGGGAGCTGAGCAGATGCCCGGGCCCAGCACCACAGACGCTGGTGGCTGAACCGTGCACTACAGGTGCTGAGCGTCACACCTGGCCTCTGCCCCATTCCCCCAGCGACTAACAACCAAAACTGTCTCCAGACATCGCCAAGTGGTCCTGCAAGAACCACCGGTCTAGACCCTGTAAGCGACCTCCTGACCAGAGCTCTGCCTGAGCAGCACATCCCGACTCCCTCACTCTCGTCTTCCCAGGATCACCCCTCCCAAGTCCACCTGAAGTCAGCAATGATGCCAGGGGCCTAGTCCCACCTGCTCTGAATTCAGTCCCGTGCCATGGCCCCTCAGTTGGCCCGGTCAGTGCTGTCCCACCTGGGTTCACCCTCGTCTGGGCCAACATGATCTTCCCAGTCCCCACTCCCCCAGCATGACCTGCTCACCCTGGCTGGAGACATTCAGGCAGAAGTACATGCCATAGATGATGTACACGTACAAGGTACCCGGCTTCATGAACATGCCGCGGTTCCGGGCCGTCTGCCTGCCACCTCTCGAGTGCGCTGCTGCGTCCTCCGGCCCCAGGTATGCTTCAGTCTCCACGATGCGGCCGCGTAGCTCCGTGTCGTCGGCCAGCCGCCGCACAAGGACCTGCAGGCCACACTCGGTCTCTGCTTGGGGCCAGGAAGGGCTGTGCCCCCAACCTCACCCTGACACCCCCTCTGGCTTGAATTCCGTCCTCTGGCTCAGGGGCGCCACAAGGCCGCCACTGTCCCCCCACCTCCTGGGAGCCCTCAGCCACCAGCAGTCTCCTCGCGGCCCACTAGTCCTGCCCACTGAGTCCTCTCTCCCTGCCTCCCTCCACCCACCCGTCGAGCCCCCTCAAGGGACCCCAGTGCATAGCACAGGGCTGAGTGGGTGGTCACGGAGGACACAGCCATCTGGAATCCTCCAGAGCCTGCGCAGCCCCCACCCCACAGGCTGCCAGGAAGCCACAAAGGACCCCCACATGGCTTCCGCCAGCCTGGTTCTGGAAGGCCGCCTGAGTTTCCAAGCCTTTTCAAAGGGCCTTTCTGAGCAGAGAACCAGCTGCCCCCGCGGTTCCTCCGGTCAGTGCGGGTGGGAACCAGGGGGAGGGGCAGGATGGTGAGCCAGCTACAGTTCATTCACTGGGACCACACCTGAGCTGGGCAGAGATGCCTCCACCTTGAGACCAACCTCCCTGCTAAGGGACGACCATGGGAGGGCAAGGACTCTTGGGCCAGCAGGACAAGCTGGGAAGCAGGCCAGGGCATGGGGCAGGGGGAGGGACTCACAGAATGCCAAGGGTGCCCAGGAACCAAGCCGCCTGAGCTGGTGGGCCTATCAAATAGTGGTGACTGTGACTAACCCCTGGCTGTGCAGTGTGACTGTGGCCAGAGCCAGGGATGGCTGTGGGTTGTGCCCAGTGCCAGGTGCCCCCAGGCCTGACTCCACCGGGGTTTCACAGTGGGCCGTAGGGCCAGCCCACGGTCCCTGGGGCATCCCCAGCACCCACCTTGTCCTTGGGCGAGGTGATCAGCCCAGAGCCCTTATCAGTGCCTGTCCCATGGTGCTCGTGTCATGGGACCAGGAGAGGAGGCCTGAGAGGGCTGGGGGGAAAGCAGCGTGGGTGACCTTCCTGGAGACGGCAACACCTCCACCAAGAGGAAAGAAGAGTGGGAGAGGGAGGGTTGGTGTCTGCTGGAAGCCAGGAATCTCCTCCTGCATCCAGAGTGGGAAAGAGGAGCAAACACGCCAGGTTTTTCCAGACCACGTGTTCCTCACGTGCCGCACATGTCTTCAACCCGAGATCCACAGGCACAGGCCACCCTGGGCACAGACAGCTGGTCGCCGCGTGCTCCTGCCATGTCTTCCTGAGCCACGTCAGCAGCTTCCACGTCCAGAAGAGCTCCCACGGCTCCATCCTGGCCTTCTGATGTCACCACACACTTCCTCCTGGCTGAAGTCCGAGAGCCCCAGGTCCTCAGCCCCATATGCGGTGCCACAGCAACTCATTCTCCCTGCAAATGACCTGCTTCCAGCATGAACACTGATCCAATCCCAGGTGACTGAGAGTCTGAAAAATTCGGAAAAGGTCGTCCTCCCTGTTTCAAAAGGGCCAAGTAAGCATGACGGGCCTACTGGGAGACGCCACCAGTGTGCGGAGAGCAATTGCAGAGAGACTCATCTTGGTCTTCAACAGCTTCCCCGAGTTCCTGGTCAATCTCAGGACTCGCCTGCCTCCACGTTTCTTCATGTGAGATCATAAATTGCCTGTGACTTTCAAAAGGGTGTCTGCTGCTTGCAGCCTAAAGCTTCCTTACGGGACACACTCTGGTCCCTCCTCCACTCGGCCAAGTCCACAGTTCAGGATCTGGTCCTTCTAGGACCCAACTCCTGGCACCAGTTTTTCTATTAGACAGAAACCAACTCTCCTTGGCTGTATTAACTGGGACCACACCTGAGCACCCAAGGTGCCACCTTGGGCAGGCACCTCTGGGAGGGGCAGAAACCCAGGCTCCTGCTTCTGCTTTAGGACCAACACCCAACCATGGTCCAGACAGACCCAGAAAGGGCTCCGCTGCTGCAGGCACACACCATGCATGATGACAACCACACCGCCGACACCACGGGGTCAGACCACAGGATGGGCCCTGGGCAGTCCCCAGCTCCCACTCCAGGTCTAGGCAGGGCACGTCTGATGTTCAGCTCAGGCCTGAGGTCAGCTGATCTCAGACCTCTGGGGTCAGCTCAGACCCCAGACCGGCATCTGAGCTACGGAACGCCTCCTGCTCTATCCCACGGCAAATTCAATGCTGGCCAGTATCAGGCCCAGCACATTTCTCATGTGACGTCGGGGGCTGTGGGGACAGGCTGGGCAGAGGGAGCCCCTCACAGAGGCTGGAGGCCAGCTCTGGTTTTGGTCCTGGTGAGAAAACTGCCCTGAGGACCTGTGAGGACCAGCAACGGATGCAGCTTTGGGCTGTGTGAGCCCAGCAGAGGTAACCGTGGGTCCAGCTGGGATGTCTGGCGTCTGGCCTCAAAACATCAGCCAGTGGTGAGCGTTGAGCCACAGACCCCTGCACGGTGACACTTGCTTCCCGCATCTGCCCAAGAAGCTGTGTGTGCTTTACCTGTCCCAGAAATGCCCGCGCCAGAGAGACCCCGGGCTGGTCGAAAAACTCAGGTCCCAGTCGGGTAGGGTGGTCCTTTGGGTTCCAGAAATAGATGCTGCGCTGGGGGCCTGGCGTGGCAGGCAGCCCTGAGCAGGGCTCCTCGAGGGGAGGCATCCTGGCCACATCAACCTTGCTCCGGCTCCTCTCTGCCACTGACAGGCGCTGCTTCTTGAGCCCCTCCCTGCGGGAAAGCTGTGAAGGGAAAGAAAACTGAAGCATCGTGTCCAACCAGTGAAACGGGTGGTGTACGGTTGAGGATCAGGTTTGGGGTGCTTGAAACTGGACTCAGCCCTACCTTAGTTTCCTCATCTGCAAAGTGTGGCAGTGGTCTCACGGGACTGTTATAAGGAGTAAAGAGAATGCTGCACCCATTACACGTGGCACGGTGCTGGACACCGGGAAGCCCTCAGGTGACAATCTTGGGGACCGATGGGCAGTGCTTGGCAGCAGGGTGGCTGCTCTGTGCTCTGTGTGAAATGGTCTACGCCGGAGGGAAGGCTGAACACCTTGGGCCAGCCACTGGCTGCAGGACCCAGGGTGGGTGGTGGGCTCTCAGAGGACAATCACTCGGAGCCTCGAGCAGCAGGGCTAGTCCTCCTGCTTCCTACTGCGTAGGCAGCTCTGGAGCATACTTCCTGAGTTTGTTTCCTGAACCTTGCCCTCTGCCCCCTTCCCTGACCCAGAATTTAAAAATACAGACTAGCAGTTTCCGGCCCAGCACATAAAGCGCTTGGAAGTCATCGTTCTCAGGCCACCAACAAGAGAAAAGCAGAAAAAAAAGAAAATCAGCCACTCTCCTTAGATCTGTCAGGGAATGGAGGTCACAGGGCAGGGACATTTAAAGGGCCACTGCCTTGGTGCTGTGGACTGAGTGTGGACAACCTGGACAGGCAAAACTCCTGCAGGCCCAGACTTGTGGCCTCATTCTTCTGTGGGGAGCCCCCAGGAACCCCAGCAGGTTCTCACGGTCAAGCCCAGAGAAAAATCCCCTCGTGCTTCCCGCAGGGGTAGGGAAAAAATAACCATTTTGAAATCGCGCTCCCAGGGGAAACTACGCGAGCCAAACCAACAGGGTTTTATCACAGCCTGACTGATGTGGAGGAAGGGAAATCCCAGCTCCAGCCCCTCTAGCCTTCCTGTCTCGCCTACGGGACGGATTTTAACAAGCTGAGCAGCACAGTGGTATCACCAGGGTGGGTGTGTCACCCAACGCAGTAACTCACGGTGTCACAACCCCCCACCCACCGTGGGCAGAGCAGACCAGCTGCCAGGAGCTGCCAGGAGCCAGGGCCACCGTCCCAGCCCCGCCCCTCCAGAGCCCACCCCCATGGCTCCCCCAAAGCTCTTCCACTCTCCCACTGGCCAAGGCGGAGACCCTCCTCTCCACCCAATGGCTGGTGGTGTGCACATCCTGACTGGCAGGTGGAGGGAGTGCCATTAACCCTGGGGTAATTCTGGTGTCACCCTCTTTGGGGTACAGATCACACTCCCTAGTGATGTCAGTGGAGAAGCACTTATAAAGGTCATAGCCAGGAGCACAGGCTGCCTAGACCCTGAGGGTTACAGGCGCCCCTCAGTCCACCAGCAGGGCCTTAACACCAACAGAGCTTCCCAGGAGATTACAAAGAAAAGAAACACAGTCCCTTTATTCAGTACATGATGTCTGGATTTCAGCCCTGCTGAGACCTGCTTGGAGGTGCTCTGGTGGCACAGAGGTTAAGGCATTCAGCTGCCAACCAAAAGGTTCTAGCGCCCCAGCTGCTCTGTGGGAGAAAGATGTGGCACTCTGCTTCTGTAAAGACTTAGAGCCTTGGGAAGCCTATGGGATAGTTCTGTCCTGTAGGGCCCTTGGGAGTCAGAATCCTGGAGAGCTCAGGATCACAGCAACAAGCAAGCTGACAGACAGGTGGTGGCTGCACCTGAGGTGTGATGACCAGAAACCAAGCATCTAGGCTGAAGACAAGCTGGCGTCCACCCAAGCCCTCCACAAGAGACCCGGAAAAAACCAGTAAATAGATAGAGATGCTGATCCTGGAACTCTGAGCATCAAATGACACGGATAAAGAATTAGACTGAGCAGCAGTCAGAAAGGGAGACGGAATGAGGACAGAGATTGGGAGAAAACAGCAGCAGAGCCTGAGGAAGCATGGCCGTTTTGAGATGCAGATGGCAGACGGCAGACGGCAGCACACAGGTGAGGAGAGACCAGCTTCAGGAACCCACACTGGGGCGGGGGGATCTGCAGAGAACCCAGGTGAGCAGAACGCGAGCAGGATCTGAGAGAGGAAAGTGCAGGGAAACGGGCGTGGGCCCGCACACTTCTGGGCACATGCGGCCGATTACCTACTTCCTGCCTGGACCCAATCATGTGGGCGGCCGCCTGAGGTCCAGCATCTCCATCTGCTCCACAGGCCTTCCCTTCTCATGGGCCCTTAGCCCAAAGGACTCGTGTTCACTAGCAGTGAGTTGTTTCATCCCCTTCACTGGCTCCCCCTTTACCTTGTAGTCGCCTGTGTCCCTGGGAGTCACGCCCATGGTCACCAGAGAGGCACTAGTTCTAGCTTTCCCCACTACACCTTTCTGGTGACCAGGGGTGAGCCCCCTCCTGTCCCCACCAACCCAGTGGCTAGGGATGCCCCCCTGCTGCCCAGTCCCCACCTGCCCAGTTCCTTGGGTTGCTTCCTCCCACCAGGAGCCACTCATCCCACCACACTCTCAGCAGAGTCAGTGCTATCAACAGGTCCTGCTTTCACAGGATGCGAGATGCACGCCTCCATGGACTCACCTGTCAAAAGGCTCTGTGCGCTAGCCTGCTGTCCCCACAGATGCCCACACCCCCCGCAGATCATGCCACAGCCGTCTGCTGCCAGCTGACCACAGCTGCACCGGCCCTCCCCTTTTATTTTCTCCTTTTCTTTTTTCCTATTTGTTTATTTGTCCATCTCCCTCCTCTGATTTTTTTCGAACCCATCTTTTTTTCTCATCTATGCCCCCTTTTCTCCTTATTTTTTTTTCCCTGCCCCATGCAGCAGGAGGCCGACAGTCATACTCACTACACCCACCACTGCACTCAGTGGACGAGCACCGCCAGCAGCTCCGCTGGACCAATGACAGACAGTGGACAACACCTACTCCTCCCACCCGCTCCTCTTCTCGACCACAGAGATCCTTGCTCAGATTCCCACCAGTTACTCCACCCATTCAGAGACAGGTGGGAGCACCCCAGTCCTGCCGAAATAGTAAGCAAAGAAGCATGCCTGTCCCACCCAGCCAGATATATCAAAACAAAGCAAAACAACAAATCAGGGTGAAACAAACCAACACATGATCAACAAATGAAAACAACAGTTCCAGAAGGTCTCAGAGACAACAGACAACTTCAACAACCAAAGAAACAGGACAAGGCAGTGCGAACAAGTCACCAAAGTAGAGAACTAGGAACCCTCCCCAAGGACAAACAAGCAATCGAAGGGTGAGGGCTAGGCAGTCTATCCAACCGAGCGACTGACACAGGGTACCAAGGAGAAGGGGGACACAGGGCAGTCTACCAAACCAAGCAACCAACGCAGGGCACTAAGGAGAAGGCAGACACAGAGAGGGTGTCTGCCAAACAGAGCGACCAACACAGGGCGCCAATGAGAATGGGGACACAGAGAGGGCAGTCTACCCAACCGAGCGACCAACACGGGGCACCAAGGAGAAGGGGGACACAGGAGGCACAGACGACAAAGACCAACACACAAAGCACTGCATTATCAGTGATTACAAACATAAGTAGACAGGCTGAAGGATCAGGTATGCCTAGGCAAAAAAAAATTAAAAAGATACATATATATATATACACACACACACACACACACACATATATATACACATATATACACACATATATACATACGTACATAAAGGAAAAACCACATGATCATATCAATTGATGCAGAAGAGGCATTTGATAAAATCCAATATCCATTCCCAATAAAAACCATCAGCAAAATAGGTATAGAAAAGAAATTCCTTAACATAATTAAGGGCACAAAACCAATGGCCAACATTATCCTCAACAAAGAGACTGAAAGCATTCCCCTTGTGAATGGGATTCAGGCAAGGATGCCCTCCATCACCACTCCTGTTAAGCACTTTCCTGGAAGTCCTAACTAGAGCAATAAGGTAAGAAAGGGAAATAAAAGGTGGCAGACGGTATTTCCACATACGTATTTGTATGGGAGCTCCGGTAGCGTAGGGCCTAAAGCACTTGACTGCTAACCAGAAGGCTGGTGGTTCAAACCCACCAGCCACTCCTCAGAAGGAAGGTTGCGCAATCTACTTCCATAGTGATACCACCTCGGAAACCCGAGGAGGGGTCACTATGATTCGGGTCCAACTCGACGGCACATAACAACAACGTTTGTATGCATTTTAAGAATGTCCATATAAGATCCTGGATAGAATGGGAGAACAATGTAGAACAAAACTCAAAATCATAAAAAAAAACCAAAACAGGTTTATGTTGTAAAAATGTCCAGGTGTATAGTAGAGCTGGTAAGGGGCAAGGTTGTGGTGGCTTCTTGGGCACAGCCAGCTGCCTGGAGGGAGCAAGCAGTTAGAGCTGTGAGCCTGAAACCGTGGTTGCAGGGGACATCAAGCTCAATTGGCATAACATACACAAAAACATTGTTCCATATCCTGCTTTGGTGAGTAGTGACTGGGGTCTTATGCAACAATTGATCTGTCCTTGTCCACAGCAAAGAACAAAGAAAACCAAAGACACATGAAAATAACTAGTCCACAGGACTAGTGGACCATGCAAACCTCCACCTACATGACCCTGAGACCAGAAGCTCTAGATGGTGCCCTAGCTATCACTGTCAGCCACTCAGAAAGGCATCAAATCAGGAGATCCTAGATAGAGTGGGGGCAAAACTTAGAACAAAACTCAAAATCATGAAATTTATTGGTCTGATAGAGACTGCTGAAACCCCTGTGACTATGGCCCCTAGTCACCCTTTGGGCCTGGAATTGAACTCACTCCCATGGCTTCCAGCCAAACAATAGACAGGCATATAGCTGAATATTTATACCAGGTAGGTACACTCCTTAGAACAGTCAACCATGGGAGATCTGAAGGGCAGTATTTACATAGGGAGATAGCTCAGAGGGCAGGAATGCACAGGAAAGAAAGACACATGGAAAAGGTAACTACAGGGAAGAAATGGGAAGACAGCTGGTACATCGTGGGGAATTACAGTCAATTTCACGAAACAAAATGTGTATTAACTGTTGTATGGAAAATGATTTGCTCTGTAAACTTTTACAGAAGTAACAACTAAAAAAAGATAATAAAGAGATCTCTGAAAAGAAAATAAGGAAAAAAAAAAAATTTACAATAGCTACCAAAAAGAGAAAATACTTACGAATAAATCTAATCACAGACACGAAAGATTTATACAAAGAAAACTTTAAAACACTAGCACAAAAAAATAAAATAAATTTACATAAATGGAAGAACATACCCTGCTCATGGACAGGAAGACTGGACATCGTGAAAATGGCAATTCTACCCAAAGCAATCTATTGAATAATGCAATCCAGATTCAGCTTCCATCAACATTCTTTAAGGAGCTGGAAAACCATCAGTAATTTTATATGGAAAGGAAAAAACCTCAAATAAACAAAGCACTACTCAAGAAGAACAAAGTAGGTCTTATCACACTTGCAGATCTGAAAGCCTACTATGCAGCCACGGTAGCCAAAACAGCCTGGTCTTGGTACAATGACAGACACACAGTCCAATGGAACAGAATTAAGAACCCCGAATCAATCCACCTATGGACAGCTGATCTTTGACAAAGTGCCGAAATCAATTAAATAGGGAAAAGACAAATGGTGCTCGCAAAACTGGATATCCATTTCCAGAAAAACGAAACAAGATCCATACCTCACACAATATGTAAAAACTAACTCCATGGGAGGTACAGACAACAAAGATGAACGCTTTTGCACATACAGTACTGCACTGTCAGTGAAGGCAAACATGGATATACGGGTGGATAGATGGGTAGACAAGCTGAATTCCATAGTGATACTGCCTCGGAAACCCAAGCAGGGGTCTCTATGAGTCGAGTCTGACTCAACAGCACATAACAACAACAACAACATGCAGGGGGGAAGTGTGCCCAAGACCATATAAGGGTTGGCAGACAATGTTTCTACAAGTGTATCGGTATGTTCTGTAAGAATTCCCAGGTATATAGTAGAGCTGACAACAGACAAGGTTGTAGTCACTTCTTGGCTACAGCCACTACTCGGAGCAAGTACTTGGACCTGTGGGCTCGGGACCACAGTCGCAGGGGACCTCAAGCTCAACTGGCGTAACATACTATACGAAACATCGTTCCACTTCCTACTTTGGTGAGTAGTGACTGGGATCTTAAAAGCTTGCAAGCGGCCATCTAGATGCAATGATGGGTCACCCCTCATCCAAAGCAAAGAAGAATGAATAAAACCAAAGATGCATGGAAACAATCAGCCCAAGGGACTGGCACACCATGCAATCCTCAGCCTATACAACTTTGAGACCAGAAGAACTAGATGGTGCCCAGCTACCACTGTCAACCACTCAGAGGGGGATCTATGTAGGAGATCCTGGATAGAGAGGGAGAACAATGTGGAACAAAACTCAAAATCATAAAAAAAAAAAAAAGACCAGGTTTGCTGGTCTGATAGAGCCTGGTGGAACCACTGAGACTGTGGTCCCTAGCTACCCTTCAGGTCTGGAACTGAACCCATTCCTGTGGCTTCCAGCCTAACAAAAGACAGGAATATGAGCTGAACATTTACACTAGGTAGATACACTCCTTGGAGAAATCAATCATGGGAGAATAGAAGAGCTGTGTGTGCACAGGGAGACAGCTCAAGGAGCAGGAGTCCATGGGAGGGAAGGACACAGAAAAAGTGGCTATGAGGAGGAAGTGGGAGGGGAGCTGTTGCATTGTGGGAGATTATAGTCAATGTCTTGAGACAAAGTGCATGTGAGATGCCGTATGGAAAGTGAATCTGCTCTGTAAACTTTTACCTAAATCAAAATTAAAAAAAAAAAAAAAAAAGTAGAGTAAAAACTAACTCCGGATGAACCAAAAGACCTATGTAAACCCTGAAACTATAATAGTTATCAAAGACAAAACGGGTAAACCAGGAGCCCTAGTTCATGGTATAAATTGATTATCGAACATCAAAAACGCACAAGTAGCAGAAGATAAACAGATGACTGAGACTTAATACAAATTAAATTCTTATGCACATCAAAAGACTTCTCCAAAAGAATAAAAAGAGAACCTAGAGATTGGGAAAAAATATCTGGCAACACCATATCCTACAAGGGACTTATTTCTAAAATGTATAGAAAACTTCAACACCTCAACAACAAAAAGACAAACGATCCAATTAAAAAATGGGTAGAGGACATGAACAGATACTTCATCAAGTAAGATATTCAGGTGGCCAAAAAACAGATGAAGAAATGCTGGTGATCATTAGCCATTAGAGAGATGCAAATCCAAACAATGCGCTATCATCTTACCCAAGCAGTAACAGCTTTGCTGTTCAACATGACAGAAAACCACAAATACTGGCAAAGGTGTGGAAAGATTGGAAGGCTCTCACACTGCTGGTGGGAGTACAAAATGATGCAACCACTGTAGAAAACAGTACGGCACTTCCTCAAAGAGTTGGAAATAGAAGTATCATTTGATCCTGCAACCCCACTACTACCACTAGGTGTATACCATAAAGAAGTGGGACATGAACAGATACATGTACAACCACGTTCACTGTAGCACTGTGCACAATAGCAAAGAGATGGAAACAACCTAAGTGCCTATCAACAAATGAATGGATAAACCACCTGGGGTACATAAAAACATGGACTACTATGCAACATTAAATAATAATGAAAAATCTGTGAAACACCTCAGAATATGGATGAACTTGGAGGACATTATGCTAAGTTAAAAAAGGTTACATATTGTATGAGTCCACTATGAAAAGTTAAGGAAAGGTTTACACATGGAAAGAAACAGCCTTTGATGGTTACCAGGGATGAGGAGGGGAGGGATGGGAAAATTACTAACTAGGTAAGAGCAAAAATGTCTCTCTGAAGACAAAGGTACACATAACCCAAGTCATGGGTTTTTAACCATCTGATATGCATGTGAAAGCTGGACAATAAGTAAGGAAGACTGGTGAAAAGTTGATGCTTTTGAGTTACAGTGTTGGTGAAGAACATTGAAAGTACCGTGGACTGCCAGAAGAACTAACAGATCTATCCTGGAGAAAGTGCAGCCAGAGAGCTCCTTGGAAGAGAGAATGGCCAGACTTTGTCTCACCTATTTTGGTCATGTTGTCAGAAGGGACCATTCCCCGGAGAAGGATGTCTTACTTGTTAAAAAGGGGAAGACTCTCAACAAGACGGACTGACACAGTGGCTGCGAGGATGGGCTCAGACACAGAAAGGACAGTGCTGGCGCAGGACCGGGAGGCGTTTTGTTCTGTCATACACAGGGTTCCTGTTAGTCGGAGCCAATTTGATAGCACTCGACGGCACATAACAACAACTAACAACAACAACAGATAAGAGACACATTAATCTGGGTGAAGGCAAAGGCTACATACAAAGTGTTTGACCAGCACAGCATCAGGAAGGGAATGACACGAGAGGTGCACAAGATTTACAGACAACCAAGGTAAACACTACTCCACACACTATCCTGCATTATCAGTAATAAATACTAATCTACAAGGGGATGCATAGGCAGGATGTCCAGGCAAACAGGTTTATACCCGTGACCACACAGGTCTATAGATGTATGTATGTCTATGTATGTACTTTACGTGCACACTGCAAGTATAATAGGGGGCAAAATCATGAAAACTTCTTAGCCATCACCTAACACCTTGAGGAAATGAGTCCTGCAGCCTCAGGACCATACGTCCTCAGGGACCTCAAGGGCAACTGGTCCGCAAGCGATGTTCTCCATCCTGCTTCCGTCCGTAGCCACCGGGGTCTTCAAGGTCCCGAACCTATGGTGCAACTATTGGTGTCTGCTTGTCCGGAGCAGACCGGAGTGAATAAAGTCCAGGTGCGTGGAAACAAGTCCGGGGGAAAGCGCCCGGGACTGGGAGACAGACGTGAACGCCAGCTCCGGGACAGGAGCCGCGGGGAAAGTGGGCAGCGAGCTGAGCTCTTCCACCGCAGGCACCGCGGTCAAGGTCACGGGACAAAAAGTGTGTGGACCACTGAATGGAAAACGAACCTCCTGTCAACTTCCACCCAGATCACAACAAAATCTCGACAAAAACCAACAAGGTGCGCCTTCCTCCCGGGAAGCCTCGGCGAGCACCCAGGAACACAGTGGACGGGACTGCGGGGAAGGTCGCACAACGTCCGTGCCCGGCAGCCCCGACGCTCGGGGTACGCCCAGGGAATTCGACCCCAGAACCCGAGACTGGGTCGCCACACGTGAGGCAGCAGACCCCCACCAGCGCCCCACAGCCGAGGCGTCTGGAAGCACTCACCCGGGCCTCGCTGCTCGCGGGCATCAGAGGGCTCGGACGCGCGAGGACCCCGGCGCGTAGCCCACGCCCAAGCCCAAGCCCACCCCGGAACACACCACGACCAAACTCCAGCCGCGACCTCCGCCCCGGAAGCACCGCCGGGGCGGAGGTGGTGGGGTGGAGCCGGCGCCTGCGCGGCAGGGACCGAGACCACGCGGGCGGGGCGTGCTCAGGGAAAGGACTCCGCCTCACGCAGGGGTGGGGAAAGTGGGCGGGGCCTGATTAGGCCTCCAGCCCTAGGCTCCACCCCCCAGCTTGTGCTGAGAGAGGAGGGAGGAGCGGTGGGCGGGGCGAGACACCTGCCTTCCCCGCCCAGTGACCCGCCCCCACCTGGGCCCGGGTTTCCCCACAGCTGCAGAGCCCACCCTACCCTCAGCCGGTAGTGAGGCCACCGAGAGGGCGGGCTCAACGTGACCCTTGACCGGGTCTTGGAGGGGCCTTGGTTTGGGGTTGTCATGCATTTTGAGGGGTCCAGAAGAGCTGAAGTGGGAGGGCGCATTTGGTTACAGAGGGCAGATTGGGGCGGAGTGGGCCCGGGATACCCTGTCCAGGACGTGGACTCGAGGCCTGTCCCAGTGCTGGGGGATCCCGGAGGACTGCGCCACCCTGCTCGTCTGGCTGGCTGTACTGACCCGCAGTCTGAGGAAGAGGCCGAGGCCAGGAGCAGGGCTGTGGGGACCATGCATGCACCTGGCAGGCCAGAGCAGGGGCAGTCTGAGAAGGGGACTGGGCTCCACCCAGAGCCTGACCCCCTTCTGCCCTGGTCCTACTGGCAACAACCTCCCAAGTGAAGTGACCCTGCACGGGGTGGGATGGGAAAGGCAATGCCTGGCCCAGAGGAAGGAAGCTGCCCTGTGGGACTTTCAGGCACAGGGCTGTTTGTGGGGAAGCGGCGGGAGGGAGGAAGACACGCAGCTGGCCCTGTGGCTCAGCGGGACACTGGCAGACCCTCTGCCGGGGCAGGCACCGCCCACCCCCTGCACCCCGTTTCCCAGTGCTCTGAGGAGCTTTTCCCAAGGTGTCTTTGACTCTGTGACCGGGATGGAGGGGGAGCTGCCAAGCAGAGTAGCCCAGGGGGCCCTTCGGGGCCTGAGAGAGCATCAGCTGGTGTTGGGTGGGAGGCGCTGGGAAGGACACACGACAGGCGCCTGTCAGATGGGCAGGACCTTGGTCTGCAGCAGCTCAGCCCAGGCCCGAGTCCCACCCTGAGGCCCCAACCAGGACTTCCTGGGAAGGGGAGGGGCAGCGCCTGCTGGAATCCGCCCAGCTGTTTGTGGCACTGTGCTTCCCATGGGGGGTGGGGGCGACAACCTGTGGTAAACTGTAAACTCGTGGCTTCTGAGGCAAGCTGATGTGACCCCTCCCCGCCTCCTTCCTCTTTCCCCTAGAGCCATTCTGCCCCAACAATGACACTTCCCCTTACTGTGGGCACAGCCCCCCACCCTGTCTTCAGGAGGGAAACTGAGGCCAGCTGTTCAGCGGGCCTGTCCGGTCTCCCTGGTGACGGGAGGGGGAGGGGGAGTGTTTCTTTGTGCTAATTTTTTTTCTGATTTCACAAGTAGTGAAGTTTCTTGTGGAGACCTGGATGCTCTCCCTGGAGGACCGGACACAGCCTGAGGACCGAGGCGGAGAGGCCCGGCTGAGGGCAGCTGGCCGGCCAGCCCAGCACAGGCACCTCTCCAGATGTCCTGGCGCCTAAGCTGCCAGGGCTTTCGCAACATCTGGCCCCCGCCTCCACTTCCTGGTGGAGGTCTGCCCCCCCCACACCACAGACTGGAAGTGGTGGGCTGAGCGTTCCCACTGTGGCCTGGAGGTTGGGCCGGCTGAGGAAGAGGGGAGGGGCTGTGGGCCAGGGACTGGCCCTCTTCTGGCCCCTGAGCCCAGGCGGGGAGAAGCCCCGAGGAGGAGGCAAGGGTGTCAGTGGAGGATGGAGGTGAAGACACCTCAGGCTGAGTCTGGATGTGGCAGTGCTCAGTGCCTGAGCTGCTCACCTCAGGCCTTTGTGGCAGTCTGTCATGGGCCCAGTGTGTGGACACGCAGGGCCTGTCCTCCCTCCTCGGGCTGTGCTGCCAACGCTGCTGGGCCCTAGGCCCGGCTGCCTTCGTGACCCTCCCACCACACCGTAAGGAGCTGAGGGGGCAGCTGCCTTGGAAACAGACAGTGACTTCAGGCCTCGGGCTGCCCGGCCCACCTGCGCCTCCTCTCCAAATAGCCAGAGTTGGTCCTGGTAGACACTACAGCCCTGCCCCCTGGCAGAAATGGCCACCTGAGGTGATGCAATGTGGCCTGGAAGCTGAGCCTAGATTCCAGAGTGGCTTGGAGCAAGGGTCCCAGAGTTCCTGTCCACCAGCACTGTGTCTCCGGGGTCTCGTGAAGGGGAAATGGAAGGATGGGTGTGTGTGTCCAAGCTGGGGCTCCTCCACCAGAACACAGGCACACACACGTGCACGTAGTGGGCACAGGCCTCCCGGCACACGCTGACCTTCTGCTCCGGGACCCCATCCAGGCCAGCGGCTCCTGTGAGGGCGAGAGAGCGGGAGGGCCTCTGGAGGCCTCTGAACCAACACAGGGGCGGCTTTCAAGCGTCTCTGGACACAGAGAGCCCTACGCCAGGAGGGCTAAAGTCGGGCAAGATAGCAGTCCTCCACCAAAGGCAGCTCCCGAGCCGCACTGAGCACCAGCTGAGGCTGGAGGTCTGGCCATGGAGGGGGTTCCCTGCAGGGGAGAGCCTGCCACCACGGGAGTTGGGCCCTGCAGGCTTAGAGGTGAGCCCTGGTGCTGGAGAACAGGCACCGCCCACTAGCTTGCCTGCCATGTTTACCACCTGTCTGGGCATCCGGGCCATGCAGGAGGTCATCCCTGGCAGGGTTGTGAATGCCTGGCACAGGGACTGTCCTGCCTCTGGCCAAGAGCCTGGCACGAGAGGGACACGCCTGAGGCCACGGGAGCAGCCTTCTGCCTGCTCGTAGTCACACCTGCACACACGAAGCTTTTACCGCCTCACTCTCCATCAGGATCTGCTGGAGATCGTCCTGGTACATGGGCAAGCGCCCACCTATCCGTTGTGCCCACAAGAAAACTCCATGGCCAGTGGACCTGCGTCACCTTCACTGAGTGTGAATGTTTCATGTTCTCAGAAGAAAGAGGGCAGCCTCTGAACCCACAACCCAGGTCACGTCAGGCCCTCTGCCCTGGCATCCCCTGGACGGCTGGCCCACGGTTGGGGCGAGACCACATGAATGTCTCCAGACACCGCTGGTACCCCTTCGGCTTGTCTTGTTCACACTGTCCTGTGCACTGGTCTCCCCACGTCAGGCTGGGGTTGCACCTGGGCCACCATGGCGTTCAGAGCACCCAGTTTGTGGTGACAATTCCCAGGAGGTGTTGGGATTTTTAGTGGAGGAGGAAGTGGGGAGAGAACATGTGTGACTCCAAAACCTGGGACCATAGCATCAAGTCCACTCACTCACACACAAACTGACCAAGTGGTGTGCTCTGAGCAGATGGGGATGGCTGCCCCCTGTTGCTGGCACACACACCCCTGCTGCGCCGGGACTTCCTCTGGGTGGGTTAGTCCTGTCGGCTCCTTCCGTGTCTGGAGAGAGGAATGCTGGGAAGTTCCCACCAGCAGCCTCAGCTCAGACAGTGTGGGGTCAGCCACAGGGTCCTAACCAGGGAGGGAGGGGCGGGCAAACGCCCAGACCAGGGGCAGGGCTCAGAGCATCCCCTGCTTGATGGGTTTCAGAAGCCTTAGCAGCAGGAGACCTGCACTGCTGGGACCTGGGACGCAGGGTGGGGCAATGACTGAGCGTGTGAGGAGTGCGTGTGTCTATGTACAAGTGTATGGGTGCACGTGTGAGTGAACACAAGGGTGCACCACTACTGTGTGCTGCTGTGGGTGTAGGAACGTGTGGGAACGTTTGTGAGTGTGTAGTTACTGTGTGCAAGCATGATTGGTATTCGCACATGCGTGCAGGAGAGTGTGAGTGTGAGTACAAGTGTGCAAGAATGGGTGACCTGTGAGTGTATGTGTATCTATGCATACGTGATAAACTGTTCCCGTGAGTATGTTCACGTGCAAATGGGTTTTTGTGGGACAAGTGACTTGACAATGTAAGTGTGCTGGGTGTAAGTGAGAGTCAGGGACAACCCCCCCCCAGGTCTATGTCCCCAGGTCAAGGGACCAGGTCAGGATTCACTCGGGTAGGGAGGGGAGAGCTTGGATTGATCGCTGGCCACCAGGCTTGGTGAGCTGGGCCATCAGACCTTCAAAGTACGGCCCTTCCCGGTCCGGCTAAGGAGACCTCCTTCAGCCGCAGGTGGTCCCGCAGGCCCCTCTCCAGAGCGCAGCCGGATGGCCTCCTCGGAGGAGGTGACCGGGGCTGGCTGGGGGGGTGCGCCGGCGCGCATTCCTGAGCCCTGAGTCAGCGCGGCCGCCC